AAAATTAGAGTTAATAAAGATTCAGAGGACCCAGTGGTGATCCATTTGTCAAGTGCAGATTGACTTCCTGAGTGATTTCATATCACCGTCAACTTCATTATGCTCTACTTTGTATTCATTAATAGTTATGTCATTCATGTGTGGGGATCTTATTTTCCTGTTTGTAAGTTCCTTTTTAGTTAGGACTATGACATTTAAATGTGTAAATCAATGATATGTTTATTGAAAATTCCACAAAATGTAAGTATTTCCTTAATTTAATAATTTAAGATAGTTTTCTCTAGTCCATTACACATGTATACACAAAAGTGTGATGATTTCAAATTATTAAGAGGTGAAAAGCTTTTTTTAGACTGGATAAGAAAAGTTACAGAAGAGTTAGGAAACTACTGGGTTGTCATGGTATAAGGAGACATACTTGAATATTTGGGAAACACATTTGCTTCCTATTTTACTCCACTATAACAAATTTGCTGGAAATGAAGTTTGCTCATATTTGTAGATTAGGGTAAAAAGTGGAGAGAGTTGTATATTTTCATAACACTCTAATTCAAATAAGGTCAAGTAACAAAGAAGCTATGTCATAAAATCTTGCATTTATAGCATTATTCTTTCAAATATTTAAAGAATTTTAAATATGTTGTCTCATTTGGTTCTAACATCCAATAAAGGTAGGTAATGGCAAACATCTGCCATGATATTTCTGAGGATAAATTGAACCTTGGGAAGATTCAGTTAATATCCAATTCTTGCCTATCAGTGCTGAAGTTGATGTGTCCTAATGCCCAGTGTAGATGCTCTTTTATGATGACATCATAATGCCTTCTGCTAGAAATATCTTTTGAAATTATGTACTCTACCTTGGTGGTTCATCCCCAAAAATGGCATCGATTATCACTATATAGACAATCCTCAAAAACAATATATCTAGGCCTGACCTGCCCCCTGAGTGGCAGACACATATCTCCATTTTATGCAATTTGATGCATCCATAAAATGGAAGTGCATTTGTATTTATTGATATACAAAGATCATCTTTAGTTATTGAATAAAACATGCAAGTTACAAAATAGTAAGAATAATATGAGCTTGTTTAGATTAAAACATATACTAGTATATATATTTAAATTATATCTCTACCCATTTACCTCTCTCTGTCATCTCTAACTACTGCGATAGTATATAAAATGTCTAGAGAAATATACATCCAACTGTTATTAGTAGGAGGAAAGGTGCAGTTATGTACCACTAGAATGAATGATTAGGAAAATAATTGACTTGAAACATATATTTTAAAACATATCACCACAGATCAAACCAGTACTTTAAAATGCAATGAATCACAAACTAATCATGGCTGTGTTGTATAGGCATAAGGATAGATGTATATGAAAACCAATAGGATGGAACTATTTCTATATAGGTAAGGTAAACTGATTTTAGATAAGGGTGAATGACAATTCATGTAGACAGGATAGTCTTTCCAACAAATAATGCTGAGACAACAGGATACCCACATGTAAATGAATGAATTTTGAGCCCTACTGTATATCAAAACTACTGCCCTGGTGCACATCGAAAGGAAATTAATTAAAAGGTGGCTGGTGGGGTGGGACTGGGTGAGATGGGCTGGACAGACCCTGGAGCCAACCTCCCATGGTCCCTCCCCAGCCAGCTGCACCTGGGGTGGCACCGTGGCTCAAAGGGCATCTGTGGAGTGAACAGGGTCCCTCTGGCAGGTGGGGTCCCTCGGCCTGGCCTGTGGGGATCAGGCTGAAACTGTCTCTCAACATCCCCCAAGGTGTCCCAGATTGCAAGAGGGCGGTTCTCAGGTGACCCATCCTGGAATTGGACTTCCTCCTTGCTTCTGGGTGCATCACCCAAGAACTGCAGCTGCCAAGTCACCACAGCTCGGCAGCTCTTGCATTGAGTGTCTACCCCCTGGTGGTCTTGCGCATCATAGCTACTGGTCGGACAGTCAGTTTATATACAATATATATATATATATATATATATATATATATATATATATATATATTAGGGGCCCAGTGCACGAAATTCGTGCACTGTGTGTGTGTGTGGGGGGGGGGTGTCCCTCAGCCCAGCCTGCCCCCTCTCACATACTGGGAGCCCTCAGGCATTGACCCCCATCACCCTCCAATCGCAGGATCGGCCCCTTGCCCAGGCCTGACGCCTCTGACAGAGGCGTCAGGCCTGGGCAGGGGACCCTCATTTCCCCCGATCACTGGCTCTGACCCCCGCCCAGGCCTGAGGCCTCTGGCCCAGGAATCATGCCTGGGCAGGGGACCCCCATCTCCCTCTGATCGCTTGCTCCACCCCCCGCCCAAGCCTGACACCTCTGACCCAGGCTTCAGGCCTGGGCAAGGGGACCATCGTATCCCTCCAATCCCCGGCTTCGCCCCCCGCCCAGGCCTGATGCCTTGGCCAGAGGAGTTGACCCCCATCACCCCCCGATCACCAATCACCGGATCGGCCCCTTGACCAGGCCTGAGGCCTCCAGCCGAGGTGTCCGGCCCGGGCAGTGGGGACCCGCAGCGGCAGCAGCGCTGCGATCTCCCTCTCTGTCCCTGCCCAGGCCTAACACCTCTGGCCGAAGCATTAGGCCTGGGCAGGGGACCCCCAGCTCCCTGAGGTTGCAGGCTCCGCCCCTGCCCAGGCCTAACGCCTCTGGCCTAGGCGTCCGCCCGGGCAGCAGGGACCCGCAGTGGCAGCGGAGGGCGCCGCGATCGCGCGGGCTCCGCCCCTGCCCCTGCAGGACTCCTCTAGCTAAGGCGTCCGACTCAGGCAGTGGGCACCCGCAGCTGAAGCGGCCCCGCGATCGTGGGCTCCGCTTTAGGCCCAGGCAAGAGACCCCTAGCTCCCGGGACAGCCGGCTTCGACCGTGCCCAGCTCCCATCACTGGCTCCACCCCTACTTCCTGCTATCACTGGCCAGGGCGGCAAAGGCGCCTGATTCTCCGATCATGGCTAGGGGACAGGGCAAAGGCGGCCCCAGGGCCGCCTTTGCCCTGCCCCCCAGCTCTTAGCTCCCCCCTGGGTTTCCAATCACTGTCAGTGGCAGGGGGCTTCTTCCTGCTTTCCCTTTTGCCTCCCTGCATTGTGCCTACATATGCAAATTAGCCGCCATCTTTGTTGGCAGTTAACTGCCATCTTAGTTGGCAGTTAATTTGCATATAGCCCTAATTAGCCAATGAAAAGGGTAGCGCCATACGCCAATTACCATTTTTCTCTTTTATTAGTGTAGATACTCAGAATAGATCAAAAACCTAAATGTTTAGAGAGCTAAAACTATAAAATGCTTACAAGATAAGATTGGGGTAAATCTTCATGACCGTAGATTTGGCAATGGATATTTAGATTTAGCATCAAATGTACAAGCAACAAAACAAGAAATCAATAGATTGGACTTCATCAAAATAAAAAAAAAAATGTGCCTCAAAGTACACTATCAAAAAAGTAGAAAGATAATCCACAGAATTGGATAAAATACTTGTATTTAGAATATATAAATAATCTTATACTTCAATAATAAAAAAGACAAGTAACCCAATTAAAAAACAGGGGCAAAATTTTTTGATTCAACATTCCTCTGAAGATCATATACAAATGGCCAAGAAACACATGAAAAAATTCTTAACATCATGAGTCGTCAGGGGTTTGCAAATCAGAACCATAGGTAACTACTACTTTATACCCACTAGAATGTTTATAATAATAAAACAGAAATAATGAATATTTGTGAGGAGATGGATAAATTGCAATCGTTGTTGGAAATGTAAAATGGCACAGACACTGTGGCAGTTTGACACTTCACCAAAATGTTAAATATAGAGTTAGCATTTGACCTAACAATTTCACTCCTAGGTATATACCAAAGAGACATGAAAACATATATCCATGCAAAAACTCAATATTAATGCTCATGTTAGCATTATTCATATTAGCCAAAGGGTGAGAAAACCTAGATGTCCATAATTTAATGAATAGTAAAATAAAATGAGTGAAATACTAATATATGCTATAACATGGATGAATCTTGGAAAAAAGCTAGTCACAGAAGCCCACATATTTTATGATTGTCATTTATGTAAAGTGTTCAGGATAGATATATCTACAGTGATAGAAATTATATAGTGGTTGCTTAAAACTGAGATGTTTGTGTGGCAGAATTTAGGGGTGATAGCTAAAGGGTGTGGGGCTTCCTTTTGGGAGTAATAAAAATATTCTAAATTGATTGTGTTAATGTTTGCATAATTCTTTTAAAAACTGAAAACCATTGAATTTTATACTTTAAATGAATGAGTTGTATGTTATATAAATTATCTATAATAATAAAAGCATAATATGCAAATTAGACTGGACAGCAGAACAACCTTCCGGATGTCATTCCAGACATCCTTCTGGATGAAGCCGCCACAACTGGGGCTGAGTTAGAGGTGGTTAGGGGTGATCAGACAGGCAGGCAAGTGGTTAGGGGCTATCAGGCAAGCAGGCAGAGTGGTTAGGGGTGATCAGGCAGGCAGGCAGAGGGGTTAGGGGCAATCAGGCAGGCAGGCAGGCAGACAAGCGATTAGGAGCCAGCTTTCCCGGATTGTGAGAGGGTGCAGGCCGGGCTGAGGGACCCCCGTGCACTAATTTCATGCACCGGGTCTCTATAATTACAATAAAAACGTTACAATCAAACAACTCTGTAATTATTCACTTCAGTTAAAGCTTTATATAGTGGCTGATGCTGCTGGTTCCAGGATCACATTTTGAAAACCATTGAATTAAAGGATCTTTAATTAACCTTTATTTTCTCCCAAATTCCCAGTTCACCAAAGATCTCCATTCTCTGACAATTCTCGATAAAATTTTACTATAAATTTCTGTATGGTTTAATGGGTTGCCATAGGATTCCCCTCTGATTTACTGTGTTTAGAGTCTCACAGTCATTGAATGGGATAGCTTAGGAATTTACTCTCTATTCTTATTCTGCAGGATGAGGAAGAGGATCTCAGGACTGAACTCAACCTTTTGAAGAAGTATTCTTTCCACAAAAACATTGTGTCCTTCTATGGTGCATTTTTCAAGCTGAGCCCTGCTGGCCAGAGGCACCAACTTTGGGTATGTATTAATTACCTTGATTTTATTCTATAATACCAGGTCACACTTGAGGATGTACACTTTCATAAGCTGAAATACCACACAACCAAAACAGTTTTTGTTTCACTCCAACCATCACTCAGCTTTGTACCCTACACAAATTTCTTTCTAAAGGCATGTACTCATTCTGTTTTCAATAAATCCTTTGCAGCATCTCTAAACACTACCTCTCCTTTAAGGCTTAGCTCAAATCCTACCTCCTGATTAAATGTACCTGGTGTGTTACCTGTCTTCCCTCCATCCCTAGATATTTGTATTTTTTTAATTAATTAAATCTTTATTGTTCAGATTATTACATTTGTTCCTCTTTCCCCCCCCCATAACTCCCCTCCTCCCAGTTCCCGCCCCACCCTCCGCCCTCATTCCCCACCCACTGTCCTCATCCATAGGTGCACGATTTTTGTCCAGTCTCTTCCTGCATCTCCCACACCCCTTTCCCCCCCAAGAATAGTCAGTCCATTCCCTTTCTATGTCCCTGATTCTATTATGATCACCAGATTATTTATTCACTTGATTCTTAGATTCACTTGTTGATAGATGCATGTTTGTTGTTCATAATTTGTATCTTTACCTTTTTCTTCTTCTTGATAGATGCATGTTTGTTGTTCATAATTTGTATCTTTACCTTTTTCTTCTTCTTGATATATGCATGTTTGTTGTTCATAATTTGTATCTTTACCTTTTTCTTCTTCTTCCTCTACTTAAAGGATACCTTTCAGCATTTCATATAATACTGGTTTGGTGGTGATGAACTCCTTTAGCTTTTCCTTATCTGTGAAGCTCTTTATCTGACCTTCAGTTCTGAATGATAGCTTTGCTGGATAAAGTAATCTTGGTTGTAGGTTCTTGGTATTCATCACTTTGAATATTTCTTGCCATTCCCTTCTGGCCTGCAAAGTTTCTGTTGAGAAATCAGCTGACAGTCGTATGGGTACTCCCTTGTAGGTAACTGAGTTTCTTTCTCTTGCTGCTCTTAAGAGTCTCTCTTTGTCTTTTGCTCTTGGCATTTTAATTATGATGTGTCTTGGTGTGGTCCTCTTTGGATTCCTTTTGTTTGGGGTTCTCCGTGCTTCCTGGACTTGTAAGTCTATTTCTTTCACCAGGTAGGGGAAGTTTTCTGTCATTATTTCTTCAAATAGGTTTTCAATATCTTGCTCTCTCACATCTTCTGGCACCCCTATAATTCTGATGTTGGTACGTTTGAAGCTGTCCCAGAGGCTCCTTACACTATCTTCGTATTTTCGGATTCTTTTTTCATTTTGCTTTTCCGGTTGGGTGTTTTTAGTTTCTTCCCATTTCAAATCTTTGCCTTGATTCTTGCGGTCCTCTGGTCTGCTGTTGGGAGTCTGTATAATATTCGTTATTTCAGTCCGTGTATGTTTAATTTCTAGTTGGTTCTTTATCATAACATCGAGGGTCTCATTAGATTTGTTGAGGATCTCATTAAGTTTATCAGCGGCTTCTAGACAGTTCTTGAGAGACCTTAAAAGTGTGGTTCTGAACTGAATATCCTCCATTGACAGTTTTGTCCTGTTTCTTTGTCTCCGCATTTTTTTATGCTTTCTTTGTGCACCGCCTAGTGGTCTTTGTGTGCAGTCCTCCTATAGTTAAGCCTTGATTGTTGTAGTTAATACTAGGGGGATTTGATATTTGTATTTTAAAAAATATTTTCTGTTGATTTCAGAGAGCAAGGGAGAGGGAGAGAGAGATAGAGGCATCAATGATGAGAGAAACTAATTGATCAGCTGCCTCCTGTGTGCTCCCTACTGGGGATCAAGCCCACAACCCAGGCATGTACCCTGACCAGGCTTTCCAACAGTTTTTTTTTAAATTTATTGAATTTACTGGAGTGACACTGGCTAATAAAACTACATAGGCTTCAGGTGTACAATTCTATAACATAGCATCTGTATATTGTGTTTTGTGTTCACCACCCCAAGTCAAGTCTATTTCCATCATCATTTATCCCTCTTCTACACTCTTCTACATCTCCTAGCCCCTTCTCCCTCTGGTAATCATCATATTGTTTTCTGTGTCTATGAGGTGGTTTTTTTTCTTTGCTTAGTCCCTTCACCATTTTTACTCAGCCCCCCAAAGCCCTCCTTTCTGACAGCCATCAGTCTATTCTCTGTATATATGAGTCTGTTTCTATTTCATTTGTTAGTTTATTTTGTTCATTTAATTCCACATATAAGTGAAATCATATGGTAATTGTCTTCCTTGACCGGCTTATTTCACTTAGCATAATACTCTCCATTCATGCTGTCATAAAAGGTAAGATTCCTTCTTTTTATGGCTGAGTAGTATTCCACTGTGTAAATGTACCACAGATTTTTTTACCCACTCATCTACTAATAAAGAACTTATACAATTCAAGACCAAAAATCCAAGTAAAAATGGGCAAAGGTCCAAAATAGGCACTTCTCCAAAGAGGACATACAGATAGCTAATAGACATATGAAAAGATGCTCAATGTCACTAATCATTAGAGAAATTCAAATTAAAATAACAATGAGATTTCACCTCACACCTGTCAGAATGGCTGACACTAATTCAACAACAACAACAACAACAACAAAAGTGTTAGCAAGGATGTAGAGAAAAGGGAACTCTCGTGAACTGTTGGAGGGAATGCAGATTGGTGTAGCCATTGTGGAAAGCAGTATGGAATTACCTCAAGAAATTAAAAATGGAACTGCCTTATGACCCCATGATTCCACTTCTGAGAATTTATTTGAAGAGACCTGCAACAATATATGCACCACTGTGTTCATTGCAGTGTTATTTACAATAGCCAAGATTTGGAAGCAACCCAAGTGCCCATCAGTAGATGAGTAGATAAAAAAGCTTTGGTACATTTTTCAACTCTTTATAATTCTACCAGCCTTTGGAGTCTTCCATCAGACAATTGAGCCAATCTTTGCAGTGTCTTAATCTCTAATCATTACATATAAATGCAAGTCATATGGACTAAAACTCTTGAGATATTTTCAGATAATTATTTTCTAATTCTTGATATTTTGCTGGCTTCAATGCAGATGGTGATGGAATTATGTGCAGCAGGCTCAGTTACTGATGTAGTTAGAATGACCAGAAATCAGAGTTTGAAAGAAGATTGGATTGCTTATATCTGCAGAGAAATACTTCAGGTGAGTCTTTATATAATTACTGTCTTCTGTCCTTGAAAATACCTGGGAGTAATATATACAATGTACCTTATAACTGTTCCTATAGGTTGGTTTAAAAATTCTAAGCATGACCTCTGAATCAGGATACCAAAAAAGAGACCAAAAGGTTTTAGAGAAAGCAGATTTTCAGGTGATGTCCTTAAACTTTAAGGTAGAGCACAAGATTTGTAAGCAGGTTCTTCCAAAGCATGACCTTTAATGGCTATGTCAGATTTAAGCTATTGTGTTCAATGGATCATGGTCATAACTACATGGAATATTTGTTATGTTATTATGATTTTAGGGTTATTTTTAAAGCATATAACTGTCATTAGAAATTAAGATAAAGGTTATGTAGAAAGCAGTGTTTTATAAAATGTCCACAAATCATTTTGCAGACAGATATCCTCTTTTACTAAAGCCCTATTCTTAAAACTTTATTTTGAATACCAAATTGGATGACAATGACAATCTTGATCTACCAAATCCAATTTTTTCCTTGTGACTTCAATGCTTAGGGAACACCCAAGAAAAATATTAACGGAACTAAACAGCATCACTAATACAAAGTTAAAATGTCCTTCTCATTACTTGTGGCAATAGTGTGAATAGTTAAGAATGGAAATGATAGATTGAGTTTAAATTCTGGGTCATTATGTATTAGCTGTGTGTCCTTGAGTCAGTTACTTAATTTCTTCAAATATCACCTTTCTCATCTATAACATGGGATAATATTAGCACCTTCCTCAAAGGATTGCTGTGAGAATTTAATATTTATTGCATGTAAAGCACTCAGCACAGTGCTTGGCAAAGAGTAAGAACTCAATAAGTAGTAGCTGTTTTTACTGTTACTTCTATTATTAATCCCCACTTAGTATCTGGAATAATATCACTGAAGCCAGGTCATACGTTAGCCAGGTCACGGGTTAATTTCAGAGGAGCCAGTATGGTAAGCCAATACAAATTGTAAATGCTTTAAAATGAATTTTTACATTCTTGCAAATTCTCAGCCTACAAGGTTGACTAGAAAATATTTTTTACTAAACAAATGGTAGGAATAGAGCAAAACAATGTCTGAACTATAATTATAAGATGTCCAGACCTTCACTCTTATGGTTTGTTGGAAATATGGATGCTAGAAAAGAAAGTAAATGGTCCAGTGTATGCACAAACATTACTTTTTGATGTTCTTTTTTTGGTGTCCCGATTTATTTTCCTTTCCTAATAGCCAAAAATAGTATTTCTGGGAACTGGTTATAGTAATTCCAGTCTAACAAAATAATTTTGTCTGAAAAATGCAAATCTGGGCCATTTTTATTCTCAAAAGTTTTTCCAAAGATATTAAGAATATTATGTGAAAAAAAGAAAATATATATGCTGATGTGGCTTTTAAAAAATAAATATATTATATGCAGGGCTTAGCTCATCTTCATGCACACCGTGTAATTCACCGGGACATCAAAGGTCAGAATGTGCTATTGACTCATAATGCTGAAGTAAAGCTAGGTAAGTTTATTCTTACAATACCTTAAGTGAAGCCCAAAATATCTTAATGGAGAAAAGTCCTTTAAATAATTGTGTTTCCTATCATGTTTCTAACAATATCATTTACTTGTTTAGGCTGTGTCTTCCCTGCCTGCAAAACCAGTCAAAATTTGAATATTTGTTTGGAAGGGAGGTGGGGTAAGACAAAGATGCACCTAATTGCTTCTCTGACATCATATAAAGGGTGTCCCAAAATTCACGCAAGAAGTAATTTTGATAGAAAACAGAGGTTTATAATTAAAAATTGTAATTTTTTATTGATTCTTAAGGTTTATAATATAGGGTTATGTATGGAATAGCATATCAGGTAAATGGTCTCCACTGCTTTGCTGGCACATACGTACACTTTTGTTGAAATTTTCCATGACCGTTTTGCATAAATATGGCTGAATTTCGATGAGGCTCATTTTCATCTTGATGGCTTGATTAATCAACAAAATTGTCCATTTGGGGTTCAGAAAATCCACGAGTGATTGTTGAGAAATAAATGCATCCATAACGTGTCACTGTTTGGTGCAGATTTTGGGCTGGAGGCATTATCGGACCATTCTTCTTCGAAAATGCGGCTGCTCAGGCAATAACAATAACAAAAGAGCGCATATGTGCCAGCAAAGCCGTGGAGGCCATTTACCCAATATTCTATTCCATACATAACCCTATACTGTATACTTTATGAATCAATAACAAATTTACAATTTTTAATTATAAACTTGTGTTTTCTATCAAAATTACTTCTTGCGTGAATTTTGGGATCCCTTTGCATGTGATTTTAGATTTATCATATTCCAGCATATTTTTTAATCCTCACCCAAGAATATTTTTCCATTGAAATTTAGAGAGAGTGAAAGGGTGGAGGAGAGAGAGAGAGAGAGAGAGAGAGAGAGAGAGAGAGAGAGAGAGAGAGAGAGATGTGAGAGAGACGCATTGACTGGTTGCCTCCCATACGCACCCTGACCAGGGCAGGAGATCGAACCTGCAACCAAGGTATATGCCCTGGGCCAGGAATCAAACCTGAGACCCTTCGAACTGCAGGTGGACACTTTAACTATTGAGTAATTGGCCAGGATCCCAGCATATTTTAAGCAACATTTTCTGTTTTTTAAAAAATCTTTATTGTTGAGATAATTATTTCCCCCCGTCATTGTTCCCCTCCATTGTTCCTGCCCCACCCCTACACCATCCCACTGTCTGTATCTATAGGTAAAATCTTTGGTTAATCTCTTCCTACCCTCATTTCCCCCTTCCTTCTGAGATTCATCAGTGTGTACCATGCTTCCATGCCTCTTATTCTATTTTATTCATGTTTATTTTGTTCATTAAATTTCTTGTTTGATTTTTAGATTCAAATGTTGATAGATATGTATTTGTTGCCATTTTATTGTTCCTATTTTTTATCCCTTCTTCTTCTTCAAGAATACCCTTCAACATTTTATGTAATATTGATTTTGTGGTGATGAGCTCCTTTAGCTTTTTCTTATTTATGAAACTCTTTATCTGACCCTCAATTCTAAATGATAGCTTGGCTAGGTAGAGTAATCTTGATTATAGGTCCTTACTGTTCATCACTTTGAATATTTCTTGCCACTCACTTTTGGCCTGCAAAGTTTCTATTGAGAAATCAGATGACAATCATACAGGTGCTCCCTTGTAGGTAATTAACTGCTTTTCTCTTGCTGCTTTTAAGATTTTCTCTCTGTCTTTAACCCTTGGTATTTTAATTATGATGTGTCTTGGTGTGTGTCTTTGGGTCCCTCTTGTTTGGGACTCTCTGTGCTTCCTGGACTTGTAAATAAATGCATCCATAACGTGTCACTGTTTGGTGCAGATTTTGGGCTGGAGGCATTATTTATTTTAGCAGTTAGGGGAAATTTTCTGCCATTATTTCTTCAAATAAGTTTTCAATATTTTGGTCTCTCTCTTCTCCTTCTGGCATCCCCATAATGTGAATGTTGGTACACATGAAGCTGTCCCAGAGGCTCCTTACTATCTTCATATTTGGGGATTCTTTTTTCTTTTTGCTCTTCTGATTGGATGTTTTTTGCTTCCTCATATTCCAAATTGTTGAGTTAATTCTCGGAATTCTTTGAATCCCTGTAAATTATTCTTTATTTCAGTTAGTGTATGCATTGGAGATTATATATATATATATATATATATATATATATATATATATATTTGATTTTTTACAGAGAGCAATGGAGAGGGATAGAGAGTTAGAAACATCGATGAGAGAGAAACATCGATCAGCTGCCTCCTGCACATTCCCTACTGGGTATGTGCCCATAACCAAGGTACATGCGCTTGACTGGAATCAAACCTGGGACCCTTGAGTCCACAGGCCAATGCTCTATCCATTGAGCCAAACCAGTTAGGGCTTATTGGTCCTTTTTTATGTCTTTGGCATTCTTACTAAGATCCTTAAAAGTCTTATGAAGATCTTTGAGTAACCTTGTAACCATGGTTTTGAATTCTATAATCAGTTGTTTGCTTGCTTTCATTTCTTTCATTTGTGACATGTTTCTTTGTCTCCACATTTTAGTTGCTTCCTTGTTTTTATTTCTATGTATTAAGTAGATCTTTTCTCGATCCTGGAATTGGTAAATTGAACTCATGTAGTAGGTGTTCTGTAGGGTCCAGTGGCTCAGCTTCCCCAGTCACCTGAGCTGGGCCCTCTAGGTACACCTCTGTGTGGTCTGTGTGCACAGTCTTGTTGTAGATGAGCCTTTATTGCTATTGGCTTCATTGGCTGTGAGTACCAGTCACAACTACAGTGGCAGAGCTGCTATTCAGGAGACACCCCTATGGAGCAGGACTTGCTTCAGTGGGGCTTTGGTGCTCACTAAGTCTGTGTCTTGAGCGTGTTGCTTGTGGATGTGTAGAGTTGCAATATGCTATAGTCTAAAGCTGTCCACAGGGTGCACTGGCTTTAGGGCCTCCAGACACTGCCTGGGACCACCTGACAGGAACTACAGAAAAATATGCAGACAGCTGCTCTTTGCTATTTGTATTGGGCTTGGAGTTTCTCAGCGAGGCCCAGCTGTGAAGCAATGCAAGCTGGTGCTGGTGCTAGTGCCAGGTCTTGGTCCTTTTATTGATTGGTTTGGGGAACACTGTCACTAGATGCAGCTTGTTTGAAAGATTTTAGCAAAGTCTGAAGCCTGAGCCAGGACAAACCATTCATATGGAGAAGCTGCTGCAAACAGCTTGGGTGGGGCTGCAAATTGGATGGGGCAAGGTATCAGGAGACATTTTCTAAGGAGGGCAACACCAGTGACTGCCAAATGGAGTCCCAGAAAAGAAAGAGATTGAAAATGATTGTATTACAATTGCAATTGACCAATAATCCTCATATTCTGGTCCTTAATCATTACAGAAGAGTTTAAATTATGCCACTGTTAAAGTCTGATCTTTACCTTTATTTTCAGCTTTCCTTTTTTCCCCCTTTTATTCTATTGGTCACTCTTTCTTCTCATCTTTTATCCTTTTATTTTATTCCCTGAATGTCTTATATCAACTATAGCTTTCACAGATATTTCTTGGCCCTTAAAGTTGACCCTCAGGGATAATTAAATGCTGAGCTCTGCTTTAACTTATTCTCCAAAATAATCTAGATAATGAGGTTGTGCATGATGAATTTTAAATATCATGGACTTTTTATTGTTGTTCTTATTAGATCTTTAAAGACTGCCTTAAATGCTTAACTTTTTAATATTTTTTATTTTTCTAAATTTTTCAAACTACTTTTCAGTCAATGTTTTCTCCATCCTCTTGATTCCTGGAAACTATTCTGAGTTAGAAAATCTACTTCATTTTTTATCCCTGTATTATTTGTTCTCAACTAAATACTCCAGTCTACTCTAGCCTTTTTTCTGTCTGTTTCTGAGGATACCATACTAAATATTTTCATATAATGTATCCCACAGATGAATAGAAGACTGAACTTTCATAGTCTAAGCTAAGCTGTATTTACTACAGTAAATATTTGCATATGATTCAGAAGATCTGTAGAAGAACTTAAATTCTAGCAGAAAACTCATTTTTCTTTATCAGTGTGATAGGAATTTCTACTGTGGTGAATGAGGTCTCCTAATAAGCTACTACTAGGTTTTAGATTTCTTATATGTTGCTAATAGTACTGGTCTTCCTCCAGCTTGGTGACAGGTCCAAACACTACATATGTTATCATTTCAGAGGTTTAGGGTGTACTGATGGAACTTTATTTTTAATATTCATGGTAAACATTCAGCCAAACCTACTGTAGATTTATAATAGCACTTCTGAGTCTCTTTCCAATATAAATAGCATAAAAATCCTATTTCCCGGTATCCCTGGAATAGACTTTATGGTAAGGTTTTCTGAGCTGGAATAAAAATCTGTTATCCATTGTGGCTTTTGTATTTTCTTTCTAAGTTAAAGCAATAACTTATTGAGCTTTTTGTTACTGATAAATTATTTTGACATATGCTGGATTTTTTTCAGTGGATTTTGGAGTGAGTGCCCAGGTGAGCAGAACTAATGGTAGGAGAAATAGCTTCATTGGGACACCATACTGGATGGCACCTGAAGTGATTGACTGTGACGAGGACCCTAGACGCTCCTATGATTACAGAGTAAGTGCGAGGATGCAGATAGTGAGGATAAAAATTTGGAAAGGGCTTTTGACTAATGTTTATTTTAAATGATAAAATAAAATATTAAAATGCAGGCACCTCCCCCTTTCACACTAAACTCTAATAGGAAATACCAGCCACTATTCCTATATGTGGTTTGATTATATGCAGAAAAATAATGTTTTCTAAGACTGTAGACAAATTAGACCATTGGGAGTTCTCCATACTTGAGGAAGAATGTCTAGTTCATGCTGCTTGCAACTTCTTAATAAAATATTATGTGGCTTTATATGGAAATTTAACTTTCAGGGACAGAGGGCTTTTAAAACTTAAAAATGAATAAATGTAAAGTCAATTATTAATCCCTACAGTAATTTAGCTCCAAAAAGAAAAACAAATAATTTCATTGCTCAGGGTGATAGAGAAATCTTTGTCATGGTTCACCTCCAAATCACAGGAAATCAGTAGAAGAGATGAATAAAATAATAATTCATGTTATTAAAATTTTCACTGAAACTGCAATTTGGACAATATATATCTATGTACACATTTCTAAGAGCTAGTGTAGAAATAAAACTCTCCATTTGCTATAGACTGGAAAAACTACACACACTCCTCATATCATAAGTCATCCAAATAATTCACTGTGGTTTCATTTTGTGTGGAACCAGGACTAGACACTTGAAGTTGATTAACGCAAGGTTCATCTCTTTTCCCTTTCCCTTAAATGCCCTCTGCTTGATCAGCAAGCAGATCTATTGAAAGCTTAGTATATAGTCTAGTGCTAATAGTAGCTATGGAGATGATGGAAACATATTGTTCTTTAAGTGGCTTACTGTAAAAATAATGCTTTATAATTGTACAACTGAGGTCTTCCAAGGATTTTTCACAACATTAATGATTTATTTTTAATTTTTAGCTTCATATAACTGAAATAAAGCTTAAACTTAGACCATCACAACAACCCTTTGAAGCTAAGAGATCTGTAAACTGGTGCTCTAATAATTCAATTAACTTTATTATTGTAGCCACGCAATGTACTTCTAGCCCCTGTGCCATTTCCTCATTCGAAAAACAAAATACAATTAATAGCATTAAGGATAATTTCCTAGAAAATTCTTGAATATAATTTCTTAGAATTATAATAATTCCATCCTCAACTTACCATATTCAAGGAACTTTAAATATATATATATATATACCAATTTTATAAAATTGAGCCACAGAGCCCTGACCGGTTTGGCTCAGTGGATAGAGCGTCAGCCTGCGGACTCAAGGGTCCCAGGTTCAATTCCGGTCAAGGGCATGTGCCTTGGTTGCAGGCACATGCCCATGGGGAGTGTGCAGGAGGCAGCTGATCGATGTTTCTCTCTCATCGATGTTTCTAACTCTCTATCCCTCTCCCTTCCTCTCTGTAAAAAATCAATAAAAAACATATTTAAAAAAAAATTGAGCCAAAGAGAGTTAGTTTACCTAAGATTGCACATTTAGTAAGTAGGTTTATTTGATAGGATTTCTTTACAACAAATTCCTTTTGCTATTTCTGTTAAGGTAATAATAGCAACATATCAATCATGGTTCTTCTTATACTTACTTAAGTCCATCCAATATCAACTGTTGTATAGAACAATACTAACTGATCAAAGCTCACATAACATCTCTCTGTAACAACATTCTATAGGAAATCCATAAAATGGCTCTGGCATTGACACCACCACTACCACTCCCTCAGCCAAAGAGTATTTTGAGATTCTAAATACTGTTTCTTATTTTTAACTGACTTTTTGGGGTCATCTTTTCCTTTGCAGAGTGATGTGTGGTCCGTGGGAATCACTGCTATTGAAATGGCTGAAGGGGCTCCTCGTGAGTAAAAATACTTGATATTTGTTAAAAGTTAGGAAAACATATTGTTTAAATCTGCCACTTTGAGAATGTACCAGTCAGCTTTTACTGGCCACCAGGTGCCACATTATCTGCCTAACTATAAATGGTAGCCTTTTCAGTGATTACTGAATGTTCTAGTCAAAATGGCCAGATATGTCTATAAAAAAGAGATTTTCCTTTTCTCTTTTATGTATCACATTTTGGGCTGATTGAGTATTATTTCAATTTAGTCACAATAGTATTTGGTCCTGGCAGTCCTGACCCATCTGAAATAAGGGCATTTCAATAAATATTGACTGGTGGAATATTTAGGTTCCAAAACAATTACAGTCACATACTGTTATTACTTCAGACAGTGACAGTTGAGAAAATTTTCCAGTGGTTGGTTGAAATTGAGCCAATACTCAATAATGTTGGAAAGTAAGCTCCCCCTCCCCCCACCTTTGGAGTCAGTCCAGCTTACCTTTTGTATCTTCCTAGCTCCATTTAGCCATTCTGTTACCCTTAAGATCTCAGAAGGTTCCACTTCCTTTTGTTTCCTTTCCTTCTCAGAATTTAAATGACCTATCAGCATCCTGTTTCAGGACACTGATTTCTGGTAGGAAGGTGAAAATGGCATGTAAATTTAGATATATATTATTGACAACCATCTAATGTATGGCCCCATAAGCAGAGCATATTTTCTGACCTAATTACCTAAACCCAAAAATGTAAATGATAAATACATTCCTAGTATTGTTGGATGAGAAGTGAGAGAAATGCCTGGAGTATGTTTCAGAGATGGGGTGGGGAGACGGGATTGTTTGCTTCGCTTCTGACTCTCCAAGCAGATCCTATAGATTCCTATGTTCCTGCATGCTCCCTCTCCACAATGTCCACACACCAAGCTTTTTAAGCTTGGACTATCTTGTTAATGTATTTCAAGGCCAATGGGAGCAAGTTCAAGGAGGCACAATAGTCATAATATCATTTTTAAGAATTGCTAATGCCCCTCGGATTATCACAGTGGGGGCTTGGATTAAAACTGGGATAAATGGGGAGATCAGGTTTCTGATGCCTTTCCTCTAGTGTCCAAAAAACTACAAAGTATCTATGTTGGGTGAGTAAAAAATAAATGATGGAGAAAACTATATATGCTACATATATAAAATTGAAATGAGACTGGGAAAATACATATTACTGTCCGTCATCACTCAATTTTTTTTCTGTGAAAGAAACATGCTTAAATGATCTCTCTCTCTCTCTCTCTCTCTCTCTCTCTCTCTCTCTCTCTCTCTCTCTCTCTTTCTCTCAATACACAATATGATATTTCATATGAGTATTGATGCATGTATTTGGTTAGGATTGATGACTGCATCAAGTAGTATATTTTTTCTGTTGTTTCTGAGTGTTCCTCACCACATCTTTTCAAAAATCTAGCTTTCTGCGTTTTAGAGATTTGTGCTTTTTAGTTCACCTTTGTGTTTCATTTTTTATTCTAAAGTATAAAATTATAGGAGAAAGGGATAATGAGCAAACTCACAGAAGGAGTGTAGAGAAGAAGTTTTGCACAGAGTATACAAATGGCAAACTTCTTGTAAAAGACAAATGAGGACCAAAAGATTCTTAACTCTCAATGAGAAAAGATTTTAAATCTCAATGGACACATACAATAGAGTGGTGGAGGCCTGGGGCTGGGGGTGGCCTATAAGGGGTCAATGGGAGAAAAAAAGGAGGACATATGTAATACTTTCAACAATAAAGTTTTTTAAAAAGAAAATAGGATCAGCATTCCTGGATAAGTAATTGGAATGGTGTGACTTTTGGTCATGAGTAACTTGAAATAGCCACAATGCTAAAAAACTGTTTTTCAACAGCCTTCGGTATTGCTTGAAGTATTAACTTTGTATGGAAATTATCTTTATCAATTTAAGAGAGCAGAAATCCTTCAGGTTATAGTTATCATCTCAGAGAATGACCTTCTGAAGCAACAATTCTGTGATAATTATCTCTGAGGTCTAAATAACAAAATTCCTTTCTTTCTTTGGTGAGTCTCTCCCAGAGAAGTAAAGAGAGAGGAAGAAGAACTTCTTATTGAAAATGTGCTATAGGGACTCTCAGAGGAGAGAAGATAGGACCACCGTTCACCCAGACCTTCTTAAGTCCTTGAGTACTGGGTAGGAATTCAAACAATGTGAAAATGTGAAAACTTTCAAACCAAGGCCAAAATATCGCTAATAGTTGTTCAAACATCAGAATATCATAGGCCAATGTTGAATAGATGCAGTTCTTAGTTTCTTTGCTATTATTTGGAAAAAAAAGTTATTGCCTAGTGAAGAGGTAGAATCAGGTTGACAGTTTATTGCAACTCTCCTTCCTTGTTAAGGATCTACAACAGCCAATTTCCCTTCATCTAAATTATACATTTCTCTATAATAGCATTCCCCTTGGTGTTGTAGAGATTATTTTTAATGCTGTCATCCATGTTTGTTTAGTGTCCTACTTCTGTTTCTTGTAGTGTCCTCGCTTTACACACAGATCAATGTTTACATTATTGTCTCGTGACTTGAATTTAATATTGTACCATTAAGATACCCACTTCTTAAGTATTCAAAAGTTTTCTTCAGATCTCAACCTTATCAAATCAATTCAAATTGCTCCCAGTTAAATGTTTACAACTCATCAATAGATGTATTTTTTAATTTCTTTATTGATTAAGGTATTACATATGTGTCTTTATCCCCCCATTACCCCCCATCCTCCCTCTCATCCCCTCACCCCCCTATTGTCTGTGCCCATTGTTTAGGCTTATATGCATGCATACAAGTCCTTTGGTTGATCTCTCCCCCTTACCCACACCCTCCCCTAACTTCCCTCTGAGGTTTGACGATCTGATAGATGCTTCTCTGTCTCTGGATCTGTTTTTGTTCATCAGATTATGTTGTTCATTATATTCCATAAATGAATGAGATCATGTGATATTTATCTTTCTCTGACTGACTTATTTTGCTTAGCATAATGCTCTCCAGTTCCATCCATGATGTTGCAAATGGTAAGAACTCCTTTTTTACCACAGCGTAGTATTCCATTGTGTAGATGTACCACAGTTTTTTAATCCACTCATCTGCTGATGTGCATTTAGGCTGTTTCCAAATCTTAGCTATGGTGAGTTGTGCTGCTATGAACATAGGGGTGCATATTTCCTTTCTAATTGGTCTTTCTAGTTTCTTGGAATATATTCCTAGAAGTAGGATCACTGGGTCAAATGGGAGTTCCATTTTTAGTTTTTTGTGGAAACTCCATACTGTTCTCCATAGTGGCTGCACCAGTCTGCATTCCCACCAGCAGTGGACGAGTGTTCCTTTTTCTTCGCATCCTCTCCAGCACTTGTCATTTGTTGATTTGCTGATGATAGCCATTCTGACAGGTGTGAGATGGTACCTCATTGTCGTTTTGATTTTCATTTTTCGTATGATTAGTGACTCTGAGCATGTTTTCATATGTCTCTTGGCCTTCTGCCTGTCTTCTTTTGGAAAGTATCTATTTAGGTCCGTTGCCCATTTTTTGATTGGGTTGTTTATCTTCCTTTTGTTAAGTTGTATGACTTCCCTATAAACTTTGGAGATTAAACCCTTATTGGTGATAACATTGGTAGTCTCCAGCCACCCAGGGCGAAGACTCCTGTGAGTTCTGAATGGATGTATTTTTAAAGGAGGTTTGCTATTTCAAATGAATATTCATGTAATGGTGAAATGTAGGCACTGTTAAGTGATATGGTGTGAAGGGGCATTTATTAGCATTCCTAAAATTAGACCATATAGGAAACTTCCACAATTGCTGTTTGATATGGCTTTTTTAACCACCCTATACTCTATTCCTTTGTGGACTTCTCCTTTCCCTTAATGAAAACCTACCAAGTGTATGCCCTAACTCTTCACTCCTAAAGATATTGTTAGTTGACTGAATGATGCTCAGCTTTTAATAAATGACAACTGCTTAATATTGTACAAAGTCATTTGCGATGTGTTTAAAGGGCAGAATCTGATGACTGATTGGGCACAGTAAAGGAATGAAGACAGTCAAATATGACCCTGATCTTTTGAGCTTGGAGTTCATTCTGCCCTCAATTAGAAACCTGCACTTTCTATTAATTTATGCCCATGTAATTGAAACAAAGAATGACCTTTGAACAATTGCCTTTATATCACTCTAATAAAATTGCTTCAGGAGGTTTATTTTTCTACTGTTATGAGAGACCAGTTTGACATTGTAATTTTCCTGGAGATGTATTTTGGAAGAGGAAGGATGACTTTAAAGTGGCATTAATATCAAATTTTCCTAACATTAATGACACACTTGAAGTGTTAGGTGAAATTTACACTATGGTTCTCCTTTGGGAATTTTTTACATTGCCAGTTTTCTTTAACCAAAACATAAGAGGAAATAAGTGAAGTGAAACACATATTTAAACACTTATAGGAAAGTGCAGAATTCTCAGACCAATGAGGTAATGAATTTGTATAGCACATATTGGAATAGGATTTTCTTTGTAGGGCTGTGTGTCTGAAATAAGGAATGAAAGTCCAATAATTTGGCACAAACTCGAATTGTCAGATAGTTAAAATCTTTATGATAATATCAATAGCTTATATTTATTAAGTGTCTAATCTGTGCTAGACACTTATGCTTGTAGGTTGCCATTTAATCCTCACAGCAACTCCCTGAAGGAATTCTTGATATATTTCCTGTTTTTCCAATAAAAAATGAGGCACAGATAGGTTAAGTAATTTTCCCAAGATCACAAAGGCTGAGCTATGAATTGAACCCAGGCCATCTTACTCTAGAAAGTGTGTCCTTACTAGTTAATTATACTAGATATACCTCTTTTCATAGGACTGTCAACTTCCAAAACATAGTCTTCTCATCTTTTTAGACTAATCAATCATCTTTATACATTATTTTGCTTAACTACTAGTCTGTTTGACTTTTTCAATTTATAATTACATATTCCAATTTTATAACTATAGATAGTTACAGTACAAAAACACAAAAGAGTGCTTTGTCTCCTCCACTTTTGGTTTCCTTCTAAAGATATGTTATCAATAACATATTTCAAACATATTATCTAGTGTAATTTATTATTAATTTGTCACAACTGTCAATAATGAACCTTTAGGGTCTTATATAAAGGACTGTTTGTGTTAAAGTGAGCTTTTCATGAACTTCATTTGCTTAGAATTCCTTCTGGAATGAGGAGTGTGCTCTGTAGTTACCTTTCTCATTCATTCTATTTTTATTTTATTTATTAATTGATTAGGGTGACATTGGTCAACATGAACATATAGGTTTCAGGTGTGGGTTTCTATGTTACAAGATCTTTATCACACAAAGTCAAATCTCCTGTCACCTTATATTAGGACCTATTCCTCCCACCCCCTTCCCTCTGGCAACTACCCCACTGCTATTTGTGTTCATGAGTTTCATTTTATAACCCACATATGAGTGAAATCATATGGTTCTTAGCTTTTCTAAATGACTTATTTTATTTAGTGTAATGTTTTCAAGGTCCATCCATGTTGTCGCAAATGGCAGTATTTCATCCTATCTTATAACTGCATAGAACTCCACTGTGTATATGTACCAATCCTCTCTTTATCCTCCTTTATCCAATCCTCTCTCATGAGACACTTAGATTATTTCCATGTCTCCACCCTGTGAATAATCTTGCAATGAACATAGGGGTGCGTATATCTTTTTGAATACATGATTTTGAGTTTTTCAGATGTATACTCAGGAGTGGGATTGTTGGGTCATATGGTAGCTCTATTCTTAATTTTTTGAGGAAACACCAGACTGCTTTCCAAAGTGGTTGTCCCAGTCTACATTCCCACCAGCAGTGAATGAGGGTTCCCCCTTTTCCACAACCTCTCCAACACTTGTTAGTGCTTGTCTTGTTGATAATGGCCACTCTAACAGGTATAAGGTGGCATCTCATTGTAGTTTTTATTTGCATTTCCTTATGGCCAGTGAGGTTGAACATCTTTTCATATATCTATTGGCTGTTCGTATGTCTTCTTGGGAGAACTATCTTTTCAGGTCCTCTGCCCTCTTTTAGATTAAATTATTTGCTTGTTTGATCTTGAGTTTTATGAGTTATTTATATATTTTGGAAATTAAACCTTTGTTGGAGGAGCTATTGTTTACAAATATCTCCCATTTAGTTGACTACCTCTTTGTTTTGTTGTCAGTTTCATTTGCTGTGCAGAAGCTTTTTAGTTTGATATAGTTTCATTCATTTATTTTTGCCTTTACTTCCCCTACCTTTAGGTTCAAGTTTATAAAAAGTTCTCTACAACCCAGGTTCATAAATTGGTATCCATATTTTCTTCTATGTATCTTATTGTTTGGGGTCTTATATATTTAGGTTTTTGATCCATTTTGAATTAATTTTTGTACTTGGGACAAACTGTAATCCAGTTTCATTCAATTGCATGTGGCTTCCCAGTTTTCCCTGCACCATTTATTGAAGAGACTATCTTCACTTCAATATACATTTCTGGCTCCTTTGTCAAAAATTATCTGTCCCTATACACGTGGTTTTATAGCTGGCTCTCTATTCTCTTCCATTGATCTATGTGTCTGTTCTCTGCCAATACCATGCTGTTTTGATTATTGTAGTTCTTTAGTATAATTTGAAGTCAGGTAGCATGATACCTCTAACTTTGTTCTTTTTTTTCTCAGTCATTCATTCTAAACTTATCTATTTTCCTTTGCAGCGCTGTGTAACCTTCAGCCCTTGGAAGCCCTCTTTGTAATTTTGCGGGAATCTGCTCCCAAAGTCAAATCCAGTGGATGGTAAACATGAATGACCCAATATCCCACATACATTAATTTGATATTTTTTTATTTAGCAGAGAAGTGTTAATTCATTTGGTCAGTCCTGCTTCAACATCTTTGTTCAACAATATTTCTTAAAATTCAGTACCTTAAGTGTGGTGTCTAAATGACTAGTTTGCTTTAAAAAGTAGCTAACCAACTAGAAATAAGTAATACCATCCAGAATATATTATGATGGCATTATAGTACTGGCATTAATGGCATATTCCTTTGTTTCTCCAGTAATGGGATGCACCTATGGAAATCATTTGTAACTTTTCTCACTGTGCTTAGATAGGCAGTCAGTGATTGGCCCATTCATTAAGCTAAACACCCACAGACCTAGAAAAGAAAACTTGTTCTCCCAGGGTGCTACAAGCCAACTAAACTTGGAAGTCCTTTTCAATGAAGCTTTTTGATCTAGTACTGGACATTCTTGCTTATTAGTATTGCTTGCCCTGGTAGAAGTGGTGACTGTGATTTGATCACTAACATTCTTGATTGTGATTCAGTTTAACCATTCCCACAGATACAGGTTTTCTGGGCACATCTGATTTCATGGGTCATTTTATAAAGTTAGTCTCAAGAACCCCTGTTTTGGAGGATCATTATATCTAAACCTCTGTAGTTCCATATAGTCAAGTGAAGCATTCAGATTTCAAGTGTGACTGCTGTGGGGTGACAAATCTAGTCTCATGGTTTACATTTATTACATTAACCACTTAAATGCTATTCTACTACTTGACTTTTTACCATGTACACACTTCTGAACTCACTGAAGTTTCTACTATTCTTTGGGTAGAAAATGCCAAAAGCTGATCTCTTCTGAGGTTTGAATGGCATTATATAAGTATATTGTCAAGCTGAAGGATATTTAGCAATTAAAAAGACAATTATAGTGATAGGTAACAGTTTCCACAAATATGAACTTCATAGTGGCATGTGGGTGGGCATGTGGATGGGTGTGGCAGGCCTGAGAATGCCCTTTTATCTCTTTGACTCATGTATTTTAGGTCTCGCAAGTTCCACAATTTCATGGAAAAATGCACGATAAAAAATTTCCTATTTCGTCCCACTTCTGCCAATATGCTTCATCATCCATTTGTTCAGAATATAAAACATGAAGGACATGTTGTTGAGTCACTGAAGAAACATCTTACTGGAATCATTAAAAAGAGACAGAAAAAAGGTAGAATGTATGATCTTTCATTTCACTGGAATGACTATTTAGATGAAAGTGGAACTTATTCTTTTTTTTTTTCAGGAAAAATCTCCTTTTTTGAAAATTAGTTTGAAAGTAAAAATTCTGAGGCCCTCAGTACTTAGTTTTTCTACTAGTGTGCCATGTGCACTTAATTCATTATTTCTGGCTGTTACAACTGGCAAAGTGTTCATATTTACAGACCTTGAAAGCCTCGGGAAGAATTTTGGGATGTGCCAATTTTATTTTTTAACTCCTAACTAAAGAAATAAAGTAAATAGCCGAAACCGGCTTGGCTCAGTGGATAGAGCGTCAGCCTGCAGACTGAAAGGTCCCAGGTTCGATACCGGTCAAGGGCATGTACCTGGGTTGCGGGCATATCCCCAGTAGGAGATGTGCAGGAGGCAGCTGATCGATGTTTCTCTCTCATCGATGTTTCTGGCTTTCTATCTCTCTCCCTTCCTCTCTGTAAAAAATCAATAAAATATATTAAAAAAAAAAAAAAAAAAGAAATAAAGTAAATAAAAAAGCTATATAATAATTGGATTCTTTGGCTGACATTTTAATTAACTCCAATGAGATAAATGGCTTTGTAATTAACCATTTATTGACTTTTAAATTTGAAGTCTGTGCACCATACAAAGTTTGTTTTATGTTCTAATCTCCAACTATAAAATATAATTAAATGAACTATTTGTACAAATAAAAGTAAGCTTCTATATATTAACACCAAAAATGGCAGGATGGATTATTATCAAATCCAGAGGAAACTACTTAGGAAGTTCTACCTTATAGATTGTATGGGAAATTCCAAACTTAATTTGAGGCACCATAGACAAAGTTGAGAGTGGTTATAGAGTAGAAAAGGGGAAACCTGAAAAATATAGCACACATTTTCAAATTAGCTTCATATTTATTTCAATGTAACTTCTTTCATCTACCCTATATAATAAAAGCCTAATATGCTAAGTGTCTGGTCATCTGGTCCTCTGTTTAACCAAGCAAAGCGTAATATGCTAATGATATGCTAAGGCTGCTCAACTGCTCACTATGACATGCACTGACCACAGAGGGCAGACACTCTGACCGGTAGGTTAGCTTGCTGCTGGGGTCCAGCTGATCGAGACTGAGTGAAATGGGCTGGACATGCCCTGGAGCCCTCCCGTGGTCCCTCCCTGGCTGCCCAACCTCCCACATCCCTCCTCGGCCCTGATCATGCACCCGTGGGGTCCCTTAGCCTGGCCTGCGCCTTCTCACAATCCGGGACCCCTCAGTGGATATCAGAGAGCCAGTTTCAGCCAAATCCTATAGGCCAGACCAAGGAACCCTACTAATGCACAAATTTGTGCACCGGGCCTCGAGTATAACTATATCCTATTTTGGAGCAAGAAGCAGCAAGAGTTAATTTATTTAGCCATGGTGGAGAATTCATTGGATGAGCATCACAAAATCCAGCCAGTCTCAAATGGGTGCATGAAGACCACACATCTACTTGATTTGCTAAATTCCATAGTTTCAAGTTTACCATATTGTTAACTACAGGAAAAGTCACATTCATATGAAGATTATATGGAAGATATAAATATAGTTGCCCTAAACACTTTAACATAGCTTTAAAAAGACATATTTTGTTTGGGTCTATATTTCAGTTCAGCACAGCTGACAGGAAAGAAGCTGAACTTTTCAATGCATTAAGTATGAAACCCAGAATTTAGATTTTTAAACTTCTCCTTGAAAGGACCTAAAATCTTTATCTTCGTTTTCAATATTCTTTGAAAGGAACAAAGATGATGTGGGTCCAAGTTATAAAGTCCTTAAATCTAGAGCACACACACCTATAAGCAATGTTCACCAATCATCTAGAGTTTCTCTTGTCCTTTTCTCCCTTTGCCTTTCTCAATTCTTTCTCTTTCAAATTGTAGCAGATTGCTAAATTTTCTTTCTATGACCATAGAAATTAGTCTGTATGGAACAGCTTCACTGTACTATAAAAGTGGACCCAAGAACCTGGATATTGTCTATATCACAGATGTGATTTGAAGGTTTACCTTCTTGTTGTCCTTTTAAATTCACTCAACATCCTGAGCAATAAAGGGTGAAAGTTGGATAAGCTGTATTACATTAATCTCTGCTGATTGTTATGCATTATTTTTCTTTAATAAAAAGGAATGCCTCTGATCTTTGAAAGAGAAGAAGATATTAAGGAGCAGTACACCACACGAAAATTCAGGTGCGTTAGACAAGTTATATATAGAATTTGATGTTAGCAATTCACTTAAGACAGTTGATTTTCATACTGTTGTATTTGACTCAGAAAAACTTAATCTTTTATCATACAACAAAAAACAAATCTATATTTTCAAGAGATATTTATGTGAAAATGTTGAAGAAAATGTTTGATTACCATTAAAAGATTCCTTAATATCTGACAATAGGATGATCAAGTATATTAGTAATACAAACAATAATTTAGACATTACAGGAATGATTCAAGAAAGATTTACTAAAACCATCTTTGGTTCAGAAAATATTTATCTTTTAAAATAAAATCATTTCCCCTGAATGGCTTCTCTCCACTGACAATTCTCATTGTATGGCAAATGCTTGTATTTTTATTTCTAGAGGACGTTGTTGTACCCATGAACTTCTAAGACTGCCAACCAGCAGTAGATGCAGACCACTTAGAGTCCTGCATGGAGAACCCTCTCAGCCAAGGTGGTTACCTGATCGAGAAGAGCCACAGGTCCAGGCACTCCAGCATCCACAGGGAGCAACCAAGGTGTTCAAGCCACTACAGGCTCAGAACAATGCACCTAGATCTCTACAGGGGCAAGCCCAGCCATCTCAGAGACTACAAGGGGCAGCTCAGGTGTTCATGCCACTACAGGCTCAGATTAAGGCTAAAACATCTAGGCCCCTACAGATGCAGATTAAAGCACCTCCACGACTACGGAGGGCAGCCTGGATGCTCATGCCACTACAGGCTCAGGTTAAGGCACCTAGGTCTCTACGTCTACATGCCCAGGTACCCAGAGACCAGAAAGATCAGGCTCAGCCCCAGACATCAGAAAAGCCACAGGATCTGGACCGAGTCCCAGAAGAATTTCAGGGGCAAAATCAGGTACCTGAACAACAACAAGGGCAAGTTCAAGCCCCTGGACAACAGCAAGGGCAGAATCAGTTACCTGAACAGCAGCTGGAGCAGAATCAAGTACCTGAACAGCCAGAGGTACAGGAACAGGCTGCTGAGCCTACACAGGCAGAGACTGAGGCAGAGGAACTAGAGTCATTACATGTACAAGCCCAGGTGTTCTTGCCTCTATTGTCACAGAACCACCACGTGTTGTTTCCACTACATTTGGATACTCAGGTGCTTATTCCAGTAGAGGGACAAACCGAAGAGTCACCTCAGGCACAGGCCTGGGCACTAGAGCCCCCACAGGATGTTGGCTCAGTTCAAGCACTGATAGAGGGACTATCAAGAAACTTACTTCGAGCACCAAACTCACATAACTCAAAGCCACTTGGTCCACTGCAAACCCTGATGGAAAACCTGTCATCAAACATATTTTATTCTCAACCAGAACAGGCACAGAAGAAGAAAAAATCAAAGGTTTCTAGTCTAAGGCAAGCACTGGCAAAAAGATTATCACCAAAGAAGTTCCGGGCAAAGTTATCACAGAGACCGGAAGAGTTTGAGCTTTTAGATTTACAAGCCTACAGGCGAAGGCGCCAACGCAGATGGGAGGATATCTTTAATCAACACGAGGAAGAATTGAGACAAGTTGCAAGTGTAAGATATTTTGATATTTTTACTTAGTGAAATATGCAGAGAAAATATGCTAGCTCACACTTACGTTTTCCCTCTGTAAAACCAAATGTCCCAGAGAAGATTAGCTAAATAGTTTGTGCTTCAAGTAAATGATCCTGAAATTTCCAGATAAGTTTCACTTGAGAAAGAAAAATTTGCTTGAATGATCCAGGTAATTGCTTAATATCCCTGTGGAAATATAGCTTAATTATTAGTTTACTACATATTATTCCCTTAACCAATAAAGAGACATCATACGTATGCATATTTAAAATTACTAGTTGGATATTTTTTAACTTTATTTTTATTGTTGACACTATTGCACATGTCCTCATCCCCCTTCCCCTTGCCCACCTCCACCCAGCCCACCTCCCTCTTTCCCTCTGGCCAACACCACATCATTGTCTGTGTCTATGGGTTATGCATTAGTTGGATCTTTCAAATTACTTCCAAAGTTCAAACTTTGCAATAATTATATAACTTTTATTAACCAATATCACCCCAATAAAGTCAATAAAAAAATTAAAAAGCTTTCCAATAAAATGTATTAAAAATACACAGCAACAAAAACAAATTAAAAAAACAACAACTTTGGTATCATTCCTCTAACATCTAAGTTAGTTTATTGCTTTTTCATTCCATGGAGTGATTAACTGTACCATTTAAGTGAATTGCACTAATTGTTTGTTTAAGTCAAGCTTAAAATGAGAAGGAAAATCAGTTTCCAAAGCATTTTGTATACAGTTACCATATGTATGACTAATCTCACTAATTTTCCACCAATTTTATATCATTAATTAATGAAGCGGCTACATTGAATAGGACACATTACGAATTTGTCTCCGCACTCTTTCAAAATGTGGGACACATTATCTTAATCACTTTACCTTATTTTGGAATAGTCAAAAAACTTTGTTCTTTCAAATTTGTCTTATATAAGTGGACTAGAGGCCCAGTGCATGAAAATCGTGCACTGGGGGGGGGGGGGGGTTCCCTCAGCCCAGCCTGCACCCTCTCCAATCTGGGACCCCTCGGGGGATGTCCAACTGCCAGTTTAGGCCCGACCACACAGTTGGACATATGCCTGATTGCCCTTAACCACTTCTGCCTGCCAGCCTGATTGCCCCCTAATGACTCCCCTGCTGGCCTGATCAATGCCTAACTGCTCCCCTGCCAGCCCGATCACCCCCAATTGCCCTCCTCTGCTGGCCCAGTCACCCCCAACTGCCCTCCCCTGCCAACCTGATCGTCCCTAACTGCCCTCCCCTGACAGACTGGTCACCCCTAACTGCCCTCCCCTGCAGGCCTGGTCCCCCTCAACTGCCCTCCCCTGCTGGACATCTTGTGGCAGCCATCTTGTGATTACATGGGGATGGCCATCTTGTGCAAGGCTGTGAGGGTCAATTTGCATATTTCCTATTTATTATATAGGATATAATTGGCCAAAGTTGATGAATTCAATGTGACAAATCTGATTTGACAATGAAGGGTTTGTGAGCTTTATAAGCAAATTAATGAGGTCAACAATATTAGGAGATCTTTTGTTTTCTAATACTTCAAAGCATGCATTTATGTAAAAGAAATCATTGTGAGGTTCCTAAATTAAACCCTGGTATCATCACCCAATTATTCTAATAATAATTAATGTAGTAATTAAACATGAACATTGTCTGAATGTCTGGTTAAGGGAGTCTTTTGGTTTGTGCCCATTTAGCCAATTTAACAAATGTTATTTCCCTGACATATTTAACATGAAAAAAATTAGAAGTAGCAAGAGAAGAAAGACCCAAAAGGAGAAATCTAATCCCCCCAAAATGGGAGATAGGAAGAAAAAGAAAACAGATATTAAAAAGAAGATATGAGTCCAGAATGGTGATATTTGTCCTGAAATTGGGGCAATGACCAGTTAAAGACAAGTATCACATGATAGCATTCATGTGTGGAATCTAAAGAACAAAATAAACTGATGAACTAAATAGATCCAGAGACATAGAAGCATGGAACAGACTGTTGAATCTCAGAGGGAAGGCAGGGGGGATGGGGGGTGGAAAGAGATTAACTAATGAATTTATATGCATATATGCATAACCCATGGTCACAGACGATAGTGTGGTGAAGGCCTGGGGCAAAGGGTGGAAGTGGGCTAGAAGGGGTCAATGGGGGGTGGGGGGGAAGGGGACATCTGTAATACTTTCAACACTAAAGATAAATTTAAAACAAACAAACAAAAATAAATAAAATTCTCATGACTATTCTCAATCAGCCCTGAATCTAATGGGTTTCACATTTGTGAAAAAAAACTTTTATGCATCCTTGCAAAACTTTTAGTATTAGTACAATACACATATTTATTGTAATATAATGTTTTAAATATATATGGGAGAAACCACTCTAAAAATGAAATAAAAATAATAGGTAATAGTTACTAATCTCATGACCCTATGATCTTGTACAGGCATGCCTATCTTTATGTGTACATTATTGATACTGTAGTCAAAGTCATAGGTCTTTTAAAATACCTGAAAATGTATTAGCACTCAGAGACATATGTAAGTGTTTCAACTCACCAGAAGCAAAGAAAACACATTTTTATTACTCTATTTGAATAGAAGAAATAATATTGACTGGCTTAAATGGGGAAACAGACACTTTTGTAAACTCCCAGGGCTCAATTAAGGAAAAATATTTGCACTGCTGTATTTCAGAACTTCTGTTGCACAAGAAGACCACACTTTATAGTTATAAATGCATACAAAACATGACAATTTGGGGTTATGTGTTAAGCTTTAGACCAGAGATTATTTTTTAAATTTATTGAGGTGATATTGGTTAATAGGATGATATCGATTTCAAGTATACATTTCTATGATACATGATCTGTGTATTGCATTGTGTGCTCACCACAGGTGCACAGTCATATCATCTTCCATTACCATATATCTGGTTCCCTTTACCCTTTACTAGCTCCCAACAACTTTCCCTCTCGTAACCACCATACTATTGTCTGCGTCTATGAGTTTCAGTTTTATATCCTACATATGAGTGAAATCATATGGTTCTTAACTTTTTTTTTTACTTACTTACTTTGCTTAGCATAATATTATCAAGGTCCATCCAGTTTGTCACAAATGACATGATTTCATCATTTCTAATGGCTGAGTAGTATTCCATTGTATATATGTACCACATCTTCTTTATCCAATCATCTATCAAAGGCCACTTTGGTTGTCTTGGTCACTGTGAATAATGGTGCAATCAAGATAAGAATGCATATATCCTTTCGAATCCACAGATTCTTAATCTGGGGCTAATAGGCGAGCTGAAAGCAGTCAGTGGTCCTCCTGAATATATATGGAGACATGTGTGTCTATATACTGTTTTCTATGGATAATCTGTAGCATTCATTAGATTCTGAAAGAGACCCAGAGCCAATAACTAGTATAAACTACTGGTTTAAATCAATTTTAATATTTGAAAATTATTAATTTATATTATGAATCAGGATGATGGAGTTGTTCCTATAATTTTCATGTTAACAGCAATTAAAATAATTATTTTCCTTTTATTTCAAAAGGACAAAGAAGATGAATCATCAGACAATGATGAAGTATTTCATTCAATTCAGGCTGAAGCCCAAATAGAACCATTGCAGCCATACATACCAAATCCTAAAGGAAATGAGGTAAATTTCTCAATATTAGTTGCTATGACATTAATAAGTGCCTAGAACTGTGGGTCTTAAATGTTTTGGGCTCAGGACCTTTTTATACTCTTAAAAAATTGCAGACCCCAAAAAACGTTTGTGTATGTGATTTGTGACATTCAATATTTAATGTATTATAAATTAAAACCAAAATTAAAATATTTATAATTTATTTAAAAATAAAACTAAGAAACAATTTTTATTGAGAAATATGTTGTTTAGGTAAAAATATATGAATAAAAGCTGGTTTCTCACATAAAGGTAGTTTAAAAGGGAGAATTTTTATAGCTTTTTCAGATAATTATGGATATTCTTTGATAATACACAAACACTGGAAAAGTGGAATTTAAAACCATATTAATTAAATTTTGTATATTTGGTAACATTAAAATCTATTGGTCTCTTATATACTATGAGTAGATGTTTTATTCATGCAGGATTTTGTAACTTTATGTATTGTTCAGTTGGAAAATATTGGTTCACTGTTTATCTAGATCTTCCCAAATGTTTGCACATTATGTTTTATTATACAGCATCAACACACAGCACTTGTTAGTATCACCATCACTTTCATCATAAACATTATTGAGTGTTGATAAGCTGTAAAGTGCATGGTGACAGATAGGAGTTTACAGTTTTAGTTTTCATTGAATGCTCAATTTTATTATTGCTAACAAATAACATTAGATGTTTTTCCTTGAGTAGACAGGTTTATTTCACTTATTTTAAATAAAATGCCGGCTACATACCCAAGTTGAATAATCATAGTTTGTCTTGTCAGTCATTCTTTTAATTAAAAATACTGCCTATAAAATTTGATTGTTCAGCTTATAACATTAATAACTGCCATGAATAAGTGCCTAGGATAGTAGTTCTTAAAGTATTTGGTCTTAGGATCTCTTTTCCTATATAATAAAGAGGTAATATTAACCCTCACACTGTCATGCCGTCACAAGATGGCTGCTCCCACAGTAGAGGCAGGGTTCCTGTAACACAAAATGGCTGCACACACAGCAGTGGCAGGGTTCTCATAACAAGCAATCAGCAGGGACCTTAGGCTGCATGGCACCGGGCTGGGCCGGGGGACCTCAGGCCATGGTCCCTGCCTGGCAGGGCTTGATGGTGGATCTCATGCTGTGCCTCCCGCCCAACAGGGTTTGACGGGGGACCTCAGGCCGTGTCCCCTGCCAGGCGGGGCTTGACAGGGGAACTCAGGCCACGCCCCCCACCCAAGTGCCAGGTCGGAGGACCTGAGGGTGCACCAGGGACCATGAGGCTTCACCCCCCACCCAGTGGGGTTTGATGGGGCACCTGAGGCTACTCCCCCTGCCTGGTGCCAGGCCATGGGACCTGAGGCTGCACCCCCTGCCCAGTGGGGCTTGACAAGGGTGGGGCCGACTGGGTCTGGATCATCACACAATTTCAAGGTGCGTGCAGGTGGGCGGGGACTTGACTCTGGGTCCCACAGCATGCCCCAGACTCTGACAGAAGGAAGATTTTCATATACATTTTACTAATTTTTTTTCATCTCTGATGCTTCTATTATATAAAAAGGGCAAATAGCAATATTAAAATATTTCCTCTAATTAATTCCCTTTTAATGTGCACAAATTTCATGCACTGGGCCACTACTTTAAATATAAAATAATTTAATTTTTCTTTCTGTTTTCTTTTTTAATGAATTTATTAGGGCAATATTGCTTAATAAAATTATACATGTTTCAGGTATACAATCCCACAATACATCACCTGTATATTATATTGTGTGTTCACTACTCCAAGTTAAATCTCCTTTTATCACCATTTATCCTCCCTTAACCTCCCCTTTCTTCTACCTCCCCCACCCTTCTTTCCAGTGGTAATCACCATACTGTTGTCTGTGTCTATGAGTCTTTCATTTTTCCTTGGCTTAATACCTTCACCCTTCTCACCCAACTATACATATATTTTTCCTTGATCATCTCTGTTCTGGGATGTAGCTTATGACAAGGTCTGGTTCATCTAATTTGTGGTTTATTTTCTTACACTTTGGAGAATAATTAAGTCCTGGTGTCCAGGTTGGCTTTTGTTTTCGCAGCTATATTACTAGCTGTATAGCACATGGTATTGCTGAGGCTCAAGTTGCAATTTAAATTCATGTGCAGACAAAATAGTATCATCATAGCTAACATTTCTAACAGCTACCCATCTATAAATTTCTTAATTACTAAGGATCATTAGGTGGATGGGTGAAAACTCAAAACTTCTTGCTTACTAATAGTGGCCCATAAGTTTCATTGTTGTTCTTAATCAGCACAAAGGCCCCAGATTACTATATTTATTCATTCAGAATGCTTCACAGTAGTCTACTCTTACATTTGTCATGGTCAATTATCCTTTTTAAATATGTGGTTTTTTTTTTTCTGACACTAAGAGTCCTCTGAAGTGAGTATTGTTTTATAAATACTAAACACAGGCAGAAGAAACATAAGCTGGATTGTACTATTTAGTTACAAGCAGCAATATATCTCCCTCTCTACCTTATAAAATGAGGATTTTACTCTTACTCCCAGATAATAATTATTACCTTTAACATAATACCCAAGGAAAGAAATATAATGAGCTGTGTCTGATTGGTTTGTCTTAGTATACGCTATTCCTACTAATCATTATCTTCTCCCCATTTTTCAGACCAAATATAGCCAATTCATATTAAACATTAGCCTTTATTATTTTTGGCCTTTATCTCTTCTATGTAATGTTGGCCTCTGTTTTACTAATGTCAATAAACTCTCTGAAATCAGCTTCATGAATCAAGAGGCCTAGCCTGAGTCAGTATGATGCCAGCTATCAGAATTGAATGTCAAAAAAGTCAGTCAGATGCTTATTCTGCATACTGCCAGATAGATGGTTGTATTTGGAAAAACTCATTAGCAAAACATATGAACAACTGACATTTTTTTAATTTCCTATCGATCTGTCTGTGGTAGTGAAAAGACAAACTTGGTAAGTTAGTACACAGAGAAAAAAAATAGTTTAGTAAGGTTAGGACAGTTTCTAGAAACTATAGAATGATTTTTATCAGCATGAAAATGCCAGATTTTTTCACATTGTAACACTTGAATTTTCCTTTCTAAAGAATCTAGTCTGACTGCCTTGTTGAATGGGGTAGCTAAAAACTATTTCGAGTATAAAGCCAGTGATCTAAAACTAAATGAAACAAAGACACTACAAAGGAAGAAACTTACAGGCCAATATCCCTGATGAACACAGATGCTAAAATCCCCAACAAAATATTAGCAAATCAGATCCAGCAATATATTAAAAAGATCATACATCATGATCAAGTAGGATTTATTCTGGGGATGCAAGGCTGGTACAAGATTCACAAATCAATAAATGTGATGCATCACATAAACAAAGTGAAAGATAAAAATCACATGATCATATCAATAGATGCAGAAAAAGCATTCAACAAAATCAAGCACCTTTTTTTTAAAATAAAAACTCTCAGCAAAGTGGAAATAGAGGCCAGATATGACAAACCTACAGCCAACATAATACTCAATGGGCAAAAACTAAAAGAATTTCCCTTAGGAACAGGAACAACACAAGGATGTCTGCTTTCACCACTCTTATTCAATATAGTAATGGAAGTCCTAACCATAGCAATCAAGCAAGAGAAGAAATAAAGGGTATCCAAATTGGAAAGGAGGAAGTAAACCTGTCATTATTTGCAGATGACATGATAATGTATGTAGAAAACCCTAAAGACTCTACCAGGAAACTACTAGACTTAATAAATGAATTCAGCAAGGTGGCAGGATACAAAATCAGCATTTTGAAATTGAATGCACTTTTATACACCAACAATGAATTCTCAGAATGAGAAACTAAACAGACAACCCCATTTGCCATTGCAACAACAACAACAAAATAAGATACCTAGGAATAAACTCAGCCAAGGAGGTAAAATACCTGTACTTGGAAAACTATAGCACATTGAAAAAAGAAACAAAGGATGATACAAACAAATGGAAGCATATACCATGTTCATAGATTGAAAGAATTAACATCATTAAAATGTCCATATTACCCAAAACAATCTATAGATTCAATGCAATCCCTATTAAACTACCAGTAGCATACTTCACAGAACTAGGACAAATACTCCAAAAATGTATGTGGAATAATAAAAGACCCTGAATAGCTTCAGCAATCTTGAGACAGAAGAACAAAGTTGGAGGTATCACAATACTGGATATCAAACTATAATAGGAAGCCATTGTAATCAAAATAGCCTGGTACTGGCACAAGAATAAGCTTATAGATCAAGGGAACAGCAGAGAGACCCCAGAAATTGACCCACACCATTATGGCCAATTAATATTTGACAAAAGAGGCAAGAACATAAAATGGAGTAAAGACAGTCTTTTCAACAAATGGTATTGGGAAAATTGGGCAGATACATGCAAAAAGATTAAACTAGACCACCAACTTACACCAGACACAATAATAAACTCAAAATGGTTAAAAGACTTAAATTTAAGCCAGGAAACCAAAAAAATCCTAGAAGAAAACATAAACAGTAAAATCTCAGATATCTCACATAGCAGAATATTTGCTGATACATCTCCTTGGGCAAGATAAACAAAGGAAAAAAATAAATAAATGGGACTACATCAAAATAAAAATTTATGCACCACAAAAGAAACCACCATCAAAATGAAAAGGGAGCCTGCTGTAAGGGAGAACTATTTTCCAATGATATATCTGGTAAGGGATTAATCTCCAAAACATACAAAATACTCATACAACTCTGCAAAAGGAAAACAAAAAATCCAATTAAAAAATAGGCAGGGAACCTGAATAGACACTTCTCCAAAGAGGACATACATATAGCCAAGAGACATATGGAAAAATGCTCAAAGTCACTAATCATCAGAGAAATAGAAATTAAAACCACAATGAGATATCACTACTACACACCTATCAGAATGGCTGTCATCAATAAATTAATAAACAACAAGCACTGGTGAGGCTGTGAAGAAAAGGGAACACTATTACACAGCTGGTGGGAATGCAGACTGGTGCAGCCATTATGGAAAGCAATATAGAGTTTCCTTAAAAACTGAAAAATGAAACTGCCATTTGACCCAGCAATCCCACTTCTGGGAATATGTCCTAAAAACCCAAAACACCAATCAGAAAGAATACCTGGTACATGCACCCCCATGTTCATAGCAGCGTTATTTACAATAGCTAAGATTTCAAAATAGCCCAAATGCCTATTAGTAGAGGAATAGATAAAAAAAAACAATTTTAGGACATTTACACAATGGGATAATATGCATCTATAAAAAACAGGGATCTCTTACCTTTTGGGACAGCATGTCTGGATCTTGAGACTATTATACTAAATGAAATAAGCCAAACTGAGGAGGACAAATAAATATCATATGATCTCACTTATATATGGAATCTAATGAACAAAATGAATTGACCAACAAAATAAGACCTGAAGCATGGAGGCATGAGACAGACTGACATACCTCGATGTATGGGTGGGGGAACAAGGAGAGATAAACCAAAGAATTTATAATACTTACTAGGGGCCCAGTGCACGAATCCATGCACCTTGAAAGGAACTGTGGGCCTCGAGGCTGAGGTGGGCACAGGGGCGGGTCTCAGCCCATCCTCCGCACCCCTGCCCAGCCCCTCCCACCACGGCCCCCAGTCCCCTGTCTGCCTGCAGCCCCACTTCCGCTGCCACCTCTCCCACTCACTGAAGACACTGGCCCTGCTCACACCCACTGACTCTGACAGCACGGTGCGATTGGGACCAGCACCAGCAGTAAGTGCAAGTGAGGCTGTTGTCATCGGCGGGTGCGAGCATTGCCTACTGTCCCTATCGCCCTTCAGGAGCAGGGGGAGGTGGAGAAGCCCTCAGGGGTGATCAGGGCTGCACCTCCACTCACACCTACTGACAGCGCTGAGCTATCCGGACTGATGCCAGGTGCTGGCAACTGGTGCGAGTGGCAGCTCTAGTGCCGGCAGCAGGTGTGGGTGGGACCATCACTGGCAGTGGGTGCAAGAGGTGGCTGCCAGCCCTGATTGCCCCTCAGGAGCAGGGGGAATGGAGAAGCCCTGAGGGGCGATTGGATTGGCAGCCACTGTTTGCACCCACTGACAGAGCTGAGCAATCGGGACCAGTGCCGGGCACCGGGGGCTGGCAGCCAGTGTTAGCAGCAGCTCCAGCACAAGCAGCGGGTGTGAGCAGGGCTGGCACCAGCAGCAGGTGCAAGTGCCGGGTGGAACCGTGGCACACAGGAGCAAAGAATTTTCAGTAACCACCAGAGGCTCACCCCAATGACAGAGACCGGTGCCCCGCCTTGGTCTGGCGCCCCTGCTCACCTGCTCTGCCATCCCACCGCAGCCAATGCCTGCCATGTTCTGTGCTCTGCCACCTGCTGCCAATGCCCACTATGTTCTGCACCGGCCCCCTGGTGGGCAACGCACATCATAGTGACTGGTTGTTCAATTGTTTGGTTGTTCGGGGTTGTTCCACTGTTCAGTGTATTTGAATGTTAGCCTTTTATTATATAGGAGGATTTGGAGCTATCATCAGAAATTATGGTTAAGCAGTTCTAATGTTATAAATAATTTTGAAAATACAAACTATTTATAAAAATTGGATTTTATAAGTTGGATTTTTAAGAAAATATCTCTATATGAAGAAAGGTATTTTTCCATAAATTAAACTCAAAAGTATTTATGATATAGAATTCTATCAAAGTATTGCATTGTGTTTTTAAGGTCCAAGAAAGATGTACTTCTGTGCCTTATAACCGGGATCATGCACACCACGTCATGTTCTCTTCAAGGTATGTGTCTCTGATATTTTTACTCACTATTTGCTATCACATGGAAAATTAAAGCTTATCTATTTGACACTAAGTGCTGTGTTAAGTTAAAACTAAAATATCAATAATAACATCATCATCAATGGTCCATATTTAAAACCTTAATTTTAATCATCCATTACCTAGATATTTCACATTTGGATGTATGCCCTCTTAGTGTCATTCAGTTTGATAGTTAGTTGGTAAGATCCCCAATTTAATAAAAGTAACAACAATGAATTCTTTGACAGCTTTCAATTGGTAATTTATAATAAAACTAGAGGCCCGGTACACAAAAATTTGTGCAATCGGGCGGGGGGGGGGTCCCTCAGCCAGGCCTGTGCCCTCTCACAGTCTGGGACCCCTCAGGAGATAACGACCTGATGGCTTAGGCCAGCTCCCGGGTGGCAGAGGGCAGGCCCAATCCCTAGGTGCAGCCCCTGGTTGGGCTCAGAGCAGGGCTGATTGGGGAGTTGGGGCGCTGCCCCCTGTCATGCACAGAGCAGGGCAAATTGGGAGGTTGCGATGCCACCCTCAGTCACGCTCAGGGTAGGGCTGATAGGGGAGTTGGGGCACCGCCGCCTGTCACACACAGAGCAGGGCTGATCAGGGGGTTGGGGCGCCTTCCCCTGTCACGAACAGAGCAGGGCGGATAGGGAGGTTGTGGCCCTGCCCCCTGTCACACACAGAGCCGCAGGGCGATCAGGGGATTTGGGCACTGCCCCCTTTCACGCTGATCCAGGTGCCGGGAGGCCTCGCGGCTCCGCTGATCCCGGTGCTGGGAGGCATATTACCCTTTTACTATATAGGATAGAGGCCTGGTGCACGGGTGGGGCTGGCTGGTTTGCCCTGAAGGGCATCCTGGATCAGGGTGGGGGTCCCCACTGGGGTGCCTGGCCAGCCTGGATGAGGGTCTGATGGCTGTTTGCAGCTGGTCACACACCCTTCAGGGTGGGGGTTCCCACTGGTGTGCCTGGCCAGTCTGGGTGAGGGGCTGAAGGCTGTTTTCAGGCTGGCAGGTGACTGAAGCTCCCAACCACTCCTTTTTTTCTTTTTTTTCTTTTTTATTCTGGGCCAGCTTTAGCTCTGAGGCTTGGCTCCAGCTCTTAGGCCTTCGCTGCTGAAAGCAGGTATCTGGTTTGTTTGGGTTCTATAATGGAAACACTGTTTCAACTCCAGCTCTGAGATCCCGGCTGGCTGAAAGCAGGTTTCTGGGGTTTTGTTTAGCTTCTATATTTGTAACAATGTTTCAAACTGCAAGCTCAGAGGCCAGCAGCGGCAGGCTGGGAACGTTGGAGTCCTCCATCACTGAAGCAAGCGAGCCTCATGTTCGCTTCAAGCTGCCTGCCTGCCGGCCGCCATCTTAGCTGGCAGTTAATTTGCATATCACCCTGATTAGCCAATGGGAAGGGTAGCGGATGTACAGCTAATTACCATGTTTCTCTTTTATTAGATAGGACAAGTATAATTTAATTTGTATCATATACATCAATTACAAATTTTATTATGTACTACGTGATAAAACATACATATAAATAATCCCTAACCTCAGAAGCTAATGACACAGAATGTGCAAGCCTGAAATGATTTATAGGGAAAAATCAAATCTAAAACTCAACATTATATCAGTGATAGTTTGTACCAGTCACAGAAATTCTTATCTCTGTAATATTGGTGAAATTTCAATAATTTTCAAATTTCATGTTTCATATTTTAGATGTTGTGTGCAATGTGTTATATTTGGAAGCTAAATTTAAATGAAAATGTTCCATGAAAACCATACCCCCTCCAACCCCAATTTATGGGAACAACTTAGCCTATATTCATTCACTCAGTCATTCAGTAAATATTGAGCACTGACTATATTCAAGATACTGGACCACATGCCCAGATGGCATAGAACTGATAGTGTATAGTTTGCATATTCCTACCCTGTTATACTTTAAAAGTCAATATATTTATGTTCTTAGATTTTATGTGTAGAAATCTTGGAAAATTTAAAACCTAGATTGGGAATGTTCTCTTTCTCTGTATTCAATGAATGAATTGTCATGGTCCTTCTGGCCACAAAGAGGGGAAGAAACCACTTTAGTTTTGTGTATCTTTTTTTAGTATCATGGGGTATGACTTTAATAAAATTTTATATATATATATATATATATATATATATATATATATATATATATATATTTCTGTTAACTGGAATTGGTTGACCATGTGACAAAATAATTTTTGAAATTATGGATAACAAATGTATTAATTTTAAGTATGCTTAAATTTCTAAAATTGATTTAAATGAAACTTCAGTCTTTCCTGAAAGTTTGGTTTATAGAAAAACTTGTCTGTCCCAATCTTAAATTAATAACTATAGTCTTTCCTATGCAGAAATTCCAAAGCAACTATAAAATTTAGCAGCACTGGTTCCAAAAATCTTTCTAAATACTCTCTGAATTTGAATAGTTAATATTAAAGTGTTCTATCTGTGTCCATCCATCTATCTATCTACAATGGGAAGTGGACATTAAAAATCGTGGATTTAAAGCATTTTAAATCAGGATAATAATAGTGGAATATTTTACATTAAAACATGCATATATTAGCCATTTTATCATGTTGAAATCCTCATATACTGTACACTATAAAGTTATATTTATTGATGTATTACTTTATTAATGTCTGAATACTTGCTTAAAGAAATTTTATAGGAATTTTTAGAAGTAAATATGATATGTGGAAGAAACACATGACTATATGGGAACATTTTTTATATTTTGGAAATTGTTTCTTTGTTAAAGATAAAATAGCATGTTTGGGGGAAAGTGGAAATTGGAAAATATAAGGTCTACTTCTTCCCAATTTGATATATGCCCATATACTTAAACAAAACTTTTTGTTGGCCCTAACATTGCATTGTACATATTAGGAAATAAAACATACTTTTCTGTCTTTTCATTAGTGTTCCTCAGTGGTCTCTTTTGGAACAAGTTCAGAAGCCCATTGACACCAGACAAAGAAGTTTGCAAAATCCTCAAAATTGCCCAGCAACATCAGGTGATTCAAAGCACAAACTGTAAAAACACAGCTAATGATTCACAATTTATATTGCAGAAGTCAAGAAATTATTTCAACAAGAAATTAATTGAAAGTGTCAGGGAGTCCAAATAGGATTAAGACCAGGAGGCCATTGAATTTGGCAATTGGTTGTTTGATGGTGACATATTAGAAAAGAAAATTGATTTTTCAAAAGTTTCTTCTTTCAGTTGAATAGTAGCTATGGATGTGTCTAGGGAGCCGGAGTGTGTTTACTTTAGTTTCTATAATATATGTGAAATATATGGGAAAGTTACTTGGGAGAGGCCTCTCCAATAAGCTTATTTTGATAGGCTGTCTTTAGTTTATGGAAATATTAGATGAAGTAGTTGTGAGCATGTGTTTATTCCTACCACCTTTTTTGAAATAAAGAAATCTTGCATTAAGCCCCAAAGCAGTCTGAACCGTGATTAGTAGGAGAAGGGAATGGGTGGCAACTGTGTAGATAATAGCTAAAGTTCTTTTCAGCTCTAAAATTCTGTTATTTTATTGGGTGTGCTACATAAAACATTTTAAGTTCCCATGGGATAGCATACTTCAACATGTAGGAAAGGAGAACACATACTATAAATTTGCCTCAAAATCTCAAACACTTGCCTAATATTCCTACTTAGCCTAATAACACACCAAGAGACTTGAGAGAAAATGGTTTCCTGCAGAAAGATAGGAAACTGCAAATATACAACAGTGTCAGAAGATGGAGACGCAAATTGTAGGGTGTGTTCAGCATAATATTCTCAAAAGTTACCAGTGTATGCAAATACATGTTTTCTGAAGTTGCAGTACCAATACTTTGGCTATATATACCAATGCTGCAAATAAAAGTGGGATAGTACTATTTATCTTTAAAATCAAGTGCACAAAAAACAATAAACAGGGACCCGCGTGTCCCCTTAGTGAAGCTTTTTCAAAGTTCACTCACCCATACTAACACTGGATTTAAATCACAGGTGTGGATTACTATACCACAAATCTTCATCTCAAAAATCCAGACTTCCAATCCAAATAAATTTGAATTTTAAATAGAAATATTTACACAAGTTTGAGCTGTGCGTTGTTATAGCAACTAACTACATGTGGCTGTTAAAATTAAAACCTAAATGAAAAGAAAATTATATTAAAAAGTCAACCCCATAGGCACACTGTGCATATTTCAAATGCTCAATAGCCATGTATGTCTAGTGGCTACTGTATAGGACAGTACAGATACAGAACATTACTATTGCTAAAGAAAGTTCTATTGCACAGCACCACTACAGAAAGATTCCCAGCTTTATAAAAAGGTCTAAGTTTTGTCTCTTTTCAGTTGTTCACTTCTCACCTATATAGAAATACTTAAGGCTATATCCTTTAGTGAAAATGGCATGATAATGATTGCAGTCAACTCTCTTCTTGAGAGTTTGGTCTAATCTATCATCTAATATGCTGTTGGGCTCTTTTTGTACTGGTTATTCTGGGAGGCCAGTGATACCACATAGCTCATCCTGTTTTTAATATATTCTTTCTCTTAATAGAACTGTCTACCAGTCTTACTGTGCACCTTCTTACACAGATAGAAATGCTTAGCAAGTGTAGCCTTAATATTGATAACAGAATAGACATGTATCTGTATAATTTTGTTAACCAGTGTCACCCCAATAAATTAAATAAACAGGAAATAAAGAATAGCCATGTAGTTCTACAGGCCGTACAAACCTTGAGCCTGTCTCTGTCACTTAAAACAGAACAAAGAATCCTAGCCCCATGAGAATTTATCAGGTGATATTTCCTGAATGAAAAGTTACTTGAAAAATACTAAGAGACAGAACAGTTACACTATAAAAATTAAGGCAATTGCTGTGATCACCACTGTTACTAATGCCTTTTTGACATTCCACAGAATCTTCCAAGGAAGAGAGTCCAGTGACTAGGAGAAGGTCACAATCATCACCTCCTTATTCTACAATTGATCAGAAGTTGCTGGTTGATATCCATGTAGGTTTCCATCTTAACTCATAATACATTTATGTTTGTTCTTTTTCATTTTAAATTTCTTTTGACTTATTTTTATCTTTACTTGAGGGAAAGGTTAAAGTGTTTAGTTTTTAAGTTAATCTTTTAAAGACTTCTATTGATATGTGAGTATGCACAAGATGAAATCTAGAAATTAAACTTGAAATGGAAGAACATTTAATTGATCAACAAATAGCAAGTGCTGGTGAGGATGTAGAGAAAAGGGAATGCTTCTAGTGTACTGTTGATGGGAATGTAAACTGGTGCAGCCACTATGGAAAGCAGTATGGAGTTACCTAAAAAATTAAAAATGGAACTGCCTTTTACCCAGGGATCCCATTTCTGGGAATATACCCTCAGAATCCTGAAACACCAATCAGAAAGAATATATATGCACCCCTATGTTCATAGCAGCGTTATTTACAGTAGCTAAGATCTGGAAACAGCCTAAGTGCCTATCAGTACATGAGTGGATAAAAAAGTCATGGTACCTTCACACAATGGAATACTATGTAGCTATTAAAAAGAAAGATCTCTTATCTTTTGAGATAGCATGGAAGAACCTGGAGAGTTTTATGCTAAGCGAAATAAGCCAGTCAAAGGAAGACAAATATCACATGATTTCACTTATATGTGGAATCTAATGAATATAATAAACTGACAAACAAAATAGTACAATAGATATGGAAGCATGGAACAGACTGAAAGATCTCAGACAGAAAGGGGGTGGGAAGAGATAAACCAAAAAACTTATATGAATATATGCATTGCCCATGGTCACCACAATAGTGCAGTAAAGGACTGGGGTGGGGCTGGAACTGGATGGAGGAAGGCAATGGGAGAAAGTAGAAGGGGCAGCTATAATACTTCAAAATAAAGATTAAAATATTTTATTTTCACATTCTTGTGTCAGAACATATTCAAGAGAAGATTATTAAAAGAACTATTTTTAGAGGCTAATCTCAAATTAAGGAGTAGAGGCTAGCTGCTCAATTTTTGTCTCATCATTTCTTGGATGATCAGGCAATGTATAAAAAGTAAAGAAAAGGAAAATTCCCTCCAACTGCATACATAAAAAGTCTTCCAATTCTTTGTGTAGTGTACTTTTAGAGCATTACATTTTACTTTTGTAATTACTCCTACCCTACCGCACACACACACACACACACATCATTTGTAGCTCATTCAAAAGTTGCTTATATGATACATCACATACTTAAATGTGGATTTATATTAATATGCTTAAAAGTATTTGAGTTACTTTAAGAAAACCTGTGTTGTATAAAACTAGAGCTTGGAAATTAACATATAAATTTTAAGAGGTATGTATTAATCCCAATGTCAGAGAATAAAACAAAAGGAAAAAAACATACTCTATCTTCTATAGTGCATCAAATAATCTGTTTTACTCTCTAGCACCAAAACCTAATGTTTATTCTTCAGAATACAAGTAAGGGTAATTTCAAAAGTGAGTAAATTTTTTCTTGTGTCATCCAGAAAGGTCATTAATGATCACAGCTTGAGGTTTGGGGTTTGTCATCTCATCATTACAAAAATGTTGGTTTTGTCTTCATTTCAATTGAAAATATATTTTTAAAATATTGTCAGCTTGGAAATATTTCAATGTAGACGAAAATGCAAGGATACTAGAAACTACATTAACCTTTCTTATGCACACAGGTTCCAGATGGATTTAAAGTAGGAAAAATATCACCCCCCGTTTATTTGACAAATGAATGGGTAGGCTATAATGCACTCTCTGAAATCTTCCGGAATGATTGGTTAACTCCTGCACCTTTCATTCAGCCACCTGAAGAAGATGGTGATTATGTTGAACTCTATGATGCTGGTATTGATACTGATGGTGATGATAATGATTCTAATGATGTGTATGAAGATACTTATGAGCATGATAAGATACTTATGAGCAATGATGCCTTGGATAACCATGTTGGTCAGGCTAATGATGTTGGTGAAGACCAAGATGATGATGGCAATGATGAAGGTGTTGATGACAAAGGCAATAATCATGATGATGCTCCTAGTTGGCCAAGGTTGTTTTTTTTTTCTGGATTACTTGCATTATCTATTTTTTATAATTTCAAAACTATTTGCATCTTTGGTTTACTTGCAAAATGTATTGCTAAGTGAGTGAAGGAATTGCACTTGCATATGGGTAAATGTTGATTTTTTAATAATATATTATAATTATTCAATGAAAACACTTAATTTTATTTTATACTGTATTTTATTAATATTCAAGTATTAGATTCTTTAATTTTTATAAACAAAAACCTCATTTACTTATTTTTTCTGTTCATTTCCTTTTTATTGAATTTATGGGGTGACACTGGTTAACAAAATCATACAGGTTTCTGGTGCAAAATTCCACAACACATCATCTGCACAGTACACTGTATTGTGTATTCACCACCCCAAGACATCTGTTAACATTAATGTTACTGAAACATCCTGCCCTGTGAAACTGCAATAAGTATGAGAAATGAGGATGACAAATTTAGTAGTGTGTTCATTTAAAGCTATAAGGTGAAGTCCTAGTATTTTCAAACAAAATATCTAAATTTGCTTTAAGATGAATAAAAATTTGACTTTCACTCATATTTTCAGGCTGAAACTTACTAACATGGCATTATTGGAATGCTGAAAAATGCTATAACTAAATTCAATATTTGTTAAATTTTATCTATTTATAAAGTAGCTGCCCACAGTGATAATATTTAGTGAAATAGTGTTTTTGGCATTCCACCAGTTATTTTTCTGTATGCTTTTAGTTCCTTGCTCCTGCTCTAAATAGCCACTGTGTTCTTATTTACATATGCTCATGGCTTGTATTCAAACATATCTCAAAGAATAGTAGTTACTATAATATATTTTTATATTTGTATAAAAATAATTAACAGTGGAAGAATTGTTTTCTTTATAATATTGAAATCCATATCTTGTTTTGGTTCAATTTTAATTTTATTGGGGGATATATATGACAGAAGAGGCATTTTTTTTCTTTTTTGCTAACTAAAATTCTACCAGGAATTCCAGTGCCAAATAAATTTGCTTTTAGAGTTATAATAGGTACATGTTTAGGATGCCTGTTATGCAAAAGATTATTGAGGCATTTTGTTAAGCTTGGTTTTGTTAGCAGCTAATTAAATTACTATCTTAGCTTAATTAAATCTATATTACTTCCCTTCTGGTGCTATAGAATGGGATTCTATAGCAGAGCAATGATACACATGTTAGAAAAACAAGGCACATGTTCACATTAGCATAAATTGTATATTGCAAGAAGAATTATTCAAATATGTTGTGATTGAGTCAAGAGTATGGGCTTGATCATTCATGTGGCTGTGAATTTGCTAATACATAAAATAGTCTATTATTTTAAAAAATACACATTCTTACTACCAACCTAACATATGCTCTTAATACAGGATTAAAGTTATCTTCCATCTGCCATCCAAATACAGCTAGGGAACTAATGGTGGCTATGGTGTTAATTCAGTATATAAGTTTGAAAAGGCATAAGGACATATTTCTTATCTATATATTACCAATATTCACATAGAGCAAAAATGTGCCTAGAGATAGTACCTATGTATGCAACACGTTTTAATTCAGTTTAATTTGCTGACTTTCAGACATGTTTTTGTTGGTTGCTTTCCCCCAATCATTAATTGAATCTTGTTATCAGGTCAAGCTATGGCAGAGGTGCAAGCTGGAAGCAAAATGGTAGAGACGATGATAATGGAGGAGAAGGTACCTACAGCAGCTATGGAAGCCAGAGAACCAGTAGAAGCCATTTAAGATATGCAGCCAGTGGGGACAATACAGCTATGGGAGATCACGAAGATAAAGCCAATATAGGAAGTGGGAGAAGAGGCATGGAGGGCAATGGAGGTAGGGGAGTCCATGAAACCAATGAAGAGAGTGAAGTCTTTGAACTCAGTGAAGGAGAAAGTTGTTCAGAGACAGATGATCCAGGTTTGGAGAGACCAACATCCCAGGACAATGAACATCAACAAGAGGTAATTCACCATTTGAAAAGGAGAATAAATTACTCTCCTTGTGAATGTGTTTCTTCATGTGATATGTCACATTTTCAGCCATTCCATATATATTTTAAACTTCAGAACAAAGCCTTAAACATTGTTAATTATAGCTGTAGGTGGATCTTTGATTCTTCTAATTTGGATGATTCCTATTTATTTTCATGAACAAGAATATCTGCTTTATTTGCCTTTATTACTCAGATCACATGCTTGTTTTAACACATACTTTTTTTATAGGAAGGTTTTATTTTGGTAAAATATGCATAACAAGTTTTTCCATTTTAACTATTTTAAGTATAGAATTCAGTAAAATTAAGTACATTCACAATGTTGTACAACTATCACTACTAGTCATTACGGACCTAGGAGATGTATTGGTGAAGAAATTGTTTTGGCATATGTCTGAGATTTTGTTGCCTTTGGATTCCTCTAGTATTTTTATGGTTTCCCATCTTAGGTTTAAGTCCTTTATCCATTTTGAGTTTATTTTTGTGTATGGTGTAAGTTGGTGGTCTAGTTTCATTTTTTTTGCATGTATCTGTCCAATTTTCCCAGCACCATTTATTGAAGAGACTGTCTTGACTCCATTGTATGTTCTTGCCTCCTTTGTCAAATATTAATTGAGCATATTCGTTCAGGTCAATTTCAGGGCTCTCTATTCTATTCCATTAATCTATATGCCTGTTCTTGTGCCAGTACCAGGCAGTTTTGAGAACAGTGGCTTTGTAATACAGCTTGATATCTGGTATTGAGATCCCACCTACTTTGTTCTTCTTTCTCAGGATTGCTGCAGCTATTCAGGGTCTGTTTTTATCCCAGATGAATTTTTGGAGAGTTCGTTTTAGGTATATGAAATATGCAATTGGTATTTTAATAGGAAGTGCGTTGAATTTATAGATTGCTTTGGGTAGTATGGACATTTTAATGATGTTGATTCTACCAATCCATAAACATGGTATGTTCTTCCATCTGTTTATGTCTTCCTCTATCTCTTTTTTCAATGTCCTGTAGTTTTCTGAGTAGAGGTCTTTTACCTCTTTAGTTAGGTTTATTCCCAGGGATCTTAATTTTTTTGGTGTGATTGTAAATAGGATTACTTTTTTAGTCTCTCTTTCTATAAGTTCACTATTGGTGTATAGAAATGCCATAGATTTCTTGGCGTTAATTTTGTATCCTGCTACATTGCCGAATTCATTTATTAAGTCTAGTAGTTTTTTGATGGAGTCTTTAGGGTTTTTTTATGTACAATATCAGGTCATCTGCGAATAAGGACAGTTTTACTTCTTCTTTTCCAATTTGGATCCCTTTCATTTCTTCTTCTTGTCTAATTGCAATGGCTAACACTTCCAGTACTATGTCAAACAGGAGTGGTGAGAGTGGCATCCTTGTCTTGTTCCTGTTCTTAGGGGAAATGGTTTTAGTTTTTGCCCAATGAGTATGATGTTGGTTGTGGGTTTGTCATATATGACTTTTATTATGTTGAGGTATGACACTTCTATTTCCACCTTGCTGAGAGTTTTTATCAAAAATGGATGTTGGATTTTGCCAAATGCTTTTACTACATCAATTGATATGACTATGTGTTTTTTTTTTCTCTCTCAATTTGGTTATGTGATGTATCACATTTATTGATTTGCAGATATTGTACCATCCTTGCATCCCTGGGATAAATCCTACTTGGCCATGGTGTATGATCTTTCTGATGTGCTGCTGGATCCAATTTCCTAGGATTTTGTTGAGGATTTTGGCATCTATGTTCATGAGGAATATTGGCCTGTAATTCACGTTCATTGTGTTGTCTTTATCTGGTTCTGGTATGAGGGTGATGCTGGCTTCATAGAATGAGCTTGGAAGTGTTCCTTCCCCCTTGAATTTTTTGGAATAGTCTGAGGAGGATAGCTTTTAGTTCTTCCTTGAATGTTTGGTAAAACTCCCCTGTGAAGCCATCTGGCCCCGGGCTTTTGTTTGCTGGAAGCTTTTTGATGACTGCTTCAATTTCTTCCATAGTTATTGTCCTATTGATATCTTTAGATTCGTCCTGATTTTTTGGAAGGTTGTATTTTTCTAGGAATATGTCAATTTCCTTCAGGTTTTCTAGTTTGTTGGAGTAGAGATGTCCAGCAGAGTACCTAGTACATAGTAAAAATTTCACAAATGTTAGGTTTCTAAATTTTATAGTTAGAGACTTCAAGCTCCTTGAATTTATCCTGTGATATAAATTATCTCAACATAACTTGTGTCTCTCTTTCAGATGAAATTGTTGGGTTCATCTGGCAAATGTGCATTTTACATAGGTGCAGAATTATAGATATTAACAAATTTTGCATTCTATTTTTCAAATGAACCCCAGGAATATTGTATTTCTCTCACCGTTAAGTTCCTAGTAAAATCCAAATTAATTTTTCATCTTTTAGGAATCAGTTGGCAGAAGTGGGACCTCAAACACCATTGCCTCAACACCTGATAATGAGAATGACAGTATAGACATATCAGAAGCATCAACAGAATCAGGTTTTTCTGCCAGTCACTCATCTCCTTTCAACATTTCTGGGAGTGCTGCAAATACTGAATTTACCAATTCCATTTGTAAGTGTGTTTAATCTCCAAATGCTGATGTCTTTTCACATATTAAATACAGGGTTTGGCCACTAGTTCAGGATTTGAAAAGAATTAAATCATCCTGATATTCAGTTGACAATAAGCCAGATGGATATAAGCTTTAAAAATCTACTCTTCTCTGAGTCTATATGGCACCTAAATTTGAACTACAATTGAAAAATTGAGTCCCTCATTTGTAATTTTTTTTTCAATCTAAGCACAGTAACTTGAAATACATTTATATTCAGAAATGTATTTGAACTGTCATGATTTGTGTTATCTGATGGTTTAGGAGTTACAAAAATGATACCTACATTTAAAAAATAAAATGCCATAGAAAAAAAGGAACTTATCGGGGCTGTGTCTCATTTGTGGAAACACGCAAGCATGTATTGTGTGAACATTAGTAATTTCTCTCAATATAATCCCCTTACTTCTTCACAGTATATACTGGATTAGTGGAAGTACCTGAGAAATCACCTAAGAAAACCTCTGAAGTAAATGTTAACCCACTATATGTCTCTACTGCATGTAAAAAACCACTAATCCACATGTATGAAAAGGAATTTACTTCTGAGATCTGCTGTGGTTCTTTGTGGGGTGAGTTTGGTTTCTTTAAAATGAGCTGTTGCTTCTTTGAAGATTATATTTTATCTATGTAATAAAGCTGTGAAAAAAATAATAGGTATAAAACATTTATTTTCTATTACCAAATCATTACCAAGAAATTAAAAAATATATTTATATAATTAATTTGCTCTTTTTTGCTGATTTATCTTCACTGAATGTAGTTTGATGTTTGAATTGGTGTTCCCTACCTTTTCATTCTATTTTCTCTTTTTAACCTGAATTAACTGAACTGAAATATAAAATTGAATTAGGTTATGATTTTTTAAAATTTTTGAACTTAGTATGTTTTAATATAAGAAGATGTGCAGCATATAACTTATGAGATATTACAAGAAATATTTCTGCAAGTTCTTGTTTTAAAATAATCTTGAGAATTTGTTGAGAAAGTTACTTCTATATCTTTGATAGACTTTTTCAGTCCTTTATTCTAGAAGAATGAATTACTAATATAACCATATTAGTAGTACTGAGACAATATTTTACCTTAAGCCAGTTTATAGCATAAATGAAACAATAAATGAACAGAAGAAGAGGGTAAATCCAAAGGAAATGCCAATCTCCAATTTTCAAATTCATAGATTTTACTTCATATATGATTGAACATGGTACAGAACTTTATATTAAAAATAGAGCAATGTAGTGGACATTATAGTTATAAGGATTGAACAACCTAGGTTAAAATCTAACATCCTCAAAGTTTTTGCTAATGTAATGTATCAGATTTAAGAAAACCAAGTTTACTTCATTATCATTCCAGTTCATGCCTAGTAATTAATTTTCATTATTTGTGAAAAATTATTTTGAAAAACAAGAGATTACAGTAAAAATTGACTGTACTTCCTTCTCCCTCTCAGATTCCCCTGTGGGAGAAAAATGTAGTTTGTAAATCTGCCACTGGCCTAGGCATTACTTATAGAACTGGTAAAAGACAGAATGGGAAAATGAAGGCAGAGATCCTTGCCTTTACCCCTAGAGAAAAATATTCTCCAAGAAGAAGGAACCTATTGAAGTAATCTTTCTTATATTACCTTGCTGATTTTCCCCTGTGTCTTAGGATATGGAGGAAAACTCCCACAGTGGTTTGAAGTACATTCGAACTTTAGTTTAATCTTCTATTTCAGTTTTGTCATTCTGGTATTTTAAAACAGTGCTTATATGTTTTTTGTTTGTTTGTTTGTTATTGTTTTTTGAGTGACTAGAACCAGCAGACAAAAAGTCTCAAAATTTAAATACACAAAAGTAGGGATTAATTTAATAGACTTTTTGCAATGTAAATATTTTAATATATGTAGTATGAACACAGAATCATTCCATTTTAAATCAGTGTACATATAATTATTTTCAAAACATTAAAACCCATAGATATAGTTAGAAATGAGAAATCAACTGAATTGATATCTTTGTAGGTGCTAGACATCTTTAATATTTAATGGTAACTTTCCAAGGGGTTGATTGATTTTTATAAAGTTTGGGACACAACTAAGGGTTCTGAGATAAAATATGGCACACTAGACACCAGCCAGTACAATATTGCCAAAGGGTATTATCTTCTATATTTGTATGTATTTCAATGAAATTTGTTCTGTTCGTAGACATTCCATTTTTACACAGAATAAGGTTAACATTAGCCTAAAATGATACGCCACCTTTATATAAATCAGAACATTGGCATAACAAAAATACTAATATAAAGTTCATTATAAAAATATAATCTGAGCTAATATAGAACTTTTCTTTTTATATATAAACAGGAGTGAATTTGCTGTTGGGAACCAGATCTAATCTGTATCTTATGGACAGAAGTGGAAAGGCAGATATTACAAAACTTATAAAACGAAGACCATTTCGTCAGATTCAAGTTGTAGAGCCACTCAATTTGCTGATTACTATCTCGGGTTTGTTTAAGAACTAAAATTAGCTGAATAATTATACAAATTAATTAGGTTTCAAACTGGGTTAAAGACTTTCTCAGGAGAAGGTGTTAATAGGAAAGCACTTTAAATATCACATTTATTTGGGACACCAGACTTTCCACTAGTATTTTTTTAACCCATTTATAATTTAAACTAACTTCTGACTTTCCTTTGGTATTTGTATATTTGATTGCAATACACCTAACCTAGGTCAATTATAAGAAAAGCCATGTGTTTTATTAATTATTTTAGAGCAGGGGAGAGAGAGAGAGAGAGAGAGAGAGAGAGAGAGAGAGAGAGAGAGAGAAGAGAGATGAGAGACACACATTGATCAGTTGTCTCATTTACTTGCCCTGACAAGGATTGAACCTGCAAACTTTTGGTATATGCCAGAATGGCGCTCTAACCAACTGAGCCATCTGGCCAGCACTCAGGTCTTTTCTGATTATCCACCTACTACTTCACAACTCACAGTTCCACCCACCCATGCACACATAACCACACTAACATCCACTATATACCTTTCTTGTGATGTATTCGAAGCAACAAAGAATGAAGTAAATAGATAAAAATGATACTGTGTTGTCCCTGGCACAAACTTATCATAAAAGCTTATGGATAGGGTTAGTAACTAGACTGGATCCTCAAAGGCAGTGGTTCTCAATCTGTGGGTCGCAACCCCTTTGGGGGTTGAACGACCCTTTCACAGGGGTCGCCTAAGACCATCGGAAAACACATATATAATTACATATTGTTTTTGTGATTAATCACTATGCTTTAATTATGTTCAATTTGTTACAATGAAATTGGGGGTCACCACAACATGAGGAACTGTATTGAAGGGTCGCGGCATTAGGAAAGTTGAGAACCACTGCTCTAAGGCCTCTACACTCTATTCATATAGTAGTTGAATTTCTTAGCTTTGGTCAGTCTGAGCTTGAACCTTTTAATATGAGAGAGCAAGTATATGGATGTTAGTAGTGTTAGCATTAAAACTGACTATAAGCCAAAGATGGCAGACAAAAGGACAGAAAAATTTTAAAAATGGTTTGAGTGTAGAATAAAATGATGCTAAATGCAGTCATTTAGATATGTTTATATACTTCCAGCCTATACCTAATAGCCATATTGTACATTGATTAATATTTATCTGTATTCTTAAATATGATTAACTTTGCTTTAAGTTTTAGTAAGAGAATAAAATCCTCTATAGATGCTAAAACCTCACAATTCTTATCAGATTATACAGTCATTCATTTATAACTCCTTGATGTACATAAAAGCAACATTTAGCAACATTTGAAAATACCTGGGTGGCTGGATAACACAGTGCTTTACTTTTTATTCAGCTTTCTCTAACCTAAATGTGCCATTTTTAAAGCTGAAAATTTTTTCAAATGTGGATTATTTTTGCCTCAGATAGTACAGAGAACATCATGTATAAATATGCCTAATAGTTTAGCGCACACATTTATTTTACCATTTAAGAATAGAATGGCAACAGATATGGATGTCTGAATTCTAACATTGTTTTTTAAAGTATCATATAAAACTATATTTAAGATTTATCTTATAAATAAGAATCATATTATTGGGCCTAGAAATCTTTTAATCATAAACCCTAAAATGAATATAAAGCCACTAAAAAACATGAAATTTTAATGGCCAGGTTTTCCTGAAGGAATTATAAAATGTTGATGGAATTTATAATTAGAAAATTAATATTAAAGATAAATTGGGTTGAGAAAAAATAATAAAACCATTCAACTAGTTTGTAAATATGCCAAAATGAAAGAGCACAGAGAGATCCATCCTACTGTCCCTGAATGTCTAACAGTGAATACATTAGGCTGCCCTCTCATTCATTCCCAATACCAGGGGCAGTTTCTCCATCTTTGAATCCTAGAAGGATCATGACTTAGATGAAAGCCAAGATACAAATGAATGGATGGTAATTCTGTTGCCTGCATAGTGGCAGTCTTAACCTGCCCCAAAGAAATATTTTACATTCACTTCAGACAGGCACATAGGTAGCTGGTGGAACTTTTACTATCTTTTGGAAGTGAGAAACATTGCTATCACATTTACAAACTCAGAAGGGAAGACTGATGCAGTACAGTTTTTTAAAAGTGCTTTTTACCCTAATGAAAACATTTGGTTACAAAGGCAGAATGCCTTTACTTTTTATTCTTTTAGTATATGAATAAAATAGATTGAAACACTATATTGTTTTTTAACCCATCAGGCCATAAAAACAGACTTCGGGTGTATTATCTGACCTGGCTGAGGAACAAGATTTTGAATGATGATCCAGAAAGTAAAAGAAGACAAGAGGAAATGCTAAAGACAGAGGAAGCCTGCAAAGCTATTGATAAGTTGACAGGCTGTGAACACTTCAGTGTTCGTAAGTCCCATTTCATATTTACTATAGTATACAAATTTTGATTCCCTTCACTTGGTGAAGTACATTGTTATGAAAGGCAGAAAAAGGGCAAAGTTTCAACTTCATATACAAAAATGAGTGAATTTTATTGCCACATTTTCCAGGATTTTTATGCCACACTTATGGCTGTTACTGAAAAAATATGGATTGACTGAAATAGCTATAGAAGTTAAATTTGGTTTACTTTCTCACCTTTCTCCTCTTCTCAGTCACTCTAATTACTCCATATAAACTATTATTTTCCTGTTTCTATATAACTTCAACTATATAATGCTTTAGTGTTTCTTCAATAACACACAAGATTATTTATATGAAATTATCTTTCCTCTAAATAGCAATAAAATAGAATGATATAATAATTCCTTTTATTTTTAATTAGCAAATCCCTTTTAACACTGATGAGGAAATTCTACAATAAGTCAAAAGAAAAAGTTTCCTATGGTCTTCTGGCTCTTGCTCCCCACTGTTGAGATTCATGAATATGATTCTTTAATATTTCCTGTCTGATTAGCATGTTTTCATATCCCTGCCTCTTCAAAATCATTCACTGTGAAATGGAGTAATAACTCGAGGGCCTCAGAATCCTACTCTCAATCGGTCAACAACTGGGAAGTAATGTTATCCCATTTTGTTATGTTTCTAAAGCAAATTTCCTCTACTCTCAGCCTTCATTTCCTTCTTTCCTCTTCACTAATTGCCCCTTTAGGCAGAACTAGTGACATAAGTAAAAGATAGGTGGGATCACCTAGTATGAGATGCATCAGGGTATTTCTATCCTGACTAATCATTTCTGCTCTTCATATAATGAGGCTTTCCCAGGATAGATTTACATATGTGTGTACATGTGTACATGTACACCATTGAAGAGAGAAATGAGTACCTGAATTGGGCATTAAATAAATACATTACTTTCTTCTAGTTTTATCTTTTTTAAATTTTTTTAATTTATTTCAGAGAGAGGAAGGGAAAGGGAGAGAGGAATATAAACATCAATGGTAACAGAGAATCATTGATTAGCTGCCTACTGCATACCCCTGACTAGGGATTGAGCCCACAACCCAGGCATGTGCCCTGGCCAGAATCAAACCATGACCTCCTGGTTTATGGGTCAATGCTCAACCACTGAGCCACATTAACCAGGCTTTTCTACTTTTATGTATCACTACTTTCCTTCAAAGTATATTATGTAAATTTTGTAGCCAGAGGTGAATGACATCCCCCAATGGTAACCCAGGAATTTATATAACAGAACTGCTTACCACCAACTTATAAATATTTTAGTTCAATAAGAGAGAGTTTCCCAGTAGGCATGGCTCAATGATTGAGTGACAATCTGTGAGCCAGAAAGTTGAGGTTCGATTCCAGGTCAGGACACATACCCAAGTTGTGGGCTCAATCCCCAGTGTGGGGCATGCAGAAGGCAGCAGATCAATGGTTCTCTCTCATCATTGATGTTTCTATCTCTCTCTCTACCTCTTCCTTCCTCTCTGAAATCAATAAAATATATTTTTTTAAAGAGAAAGAGAAAGAGAGAGAGAGAGATTACAAAGGTAACCAACCAACTTGCAAATCTGGGCTCTTGGTAAGCGGAAGGACTAGCTAAGTCTAGTTTTTCTGGCTGACCCCATTCCAACCCATCCCTGTTCTTATAAAAAACAAAAATATTTGCCCTACTGACAAATGGAACAGTAGATTTCCTTTGCTTGTTGGGGGCGTAGTAATCATACTTCTTTGACCATCTTGGGAACAGTGCAAAAAAAAGAAAGAACGAGAGAGAGAGAAAGAGAGAGAGAGAGAAAGAGAGAGAGAGAGAGAGAGAGAGAGAGAGAGAGAGAGAGAGAGAGAGAGAGAGAGACCTTATATTATATATATTGGTCTCAGATGAAGTCTGGCTAGAGAGGACAGAATTAATGTCACTGCCAAATAAGAGCACAAAGCAGAAACTATTGAAATAATTTACCATAAAGTGTACCCCTCTAATAGTATACAATTTTAGAATGTTTATAGAGTTGTATAATAACCATCACCTTAATCTAATTTTCATCGTCCACCGCCAATAAAATCCCATAGCCATTAGCAACCTTTCCACATTCAATTAGTCTTACATTCACATTATTCTCCTCTCACAGTCCTGGGTAATGTTGCCTGATGGTCCGTGGCTCCAATTAAATGCCAACAGGCATTCCCATTTCGGGGTGCAGTGAAAAAGGGAACTTTATTCAGTACACACAGCCAATTGTAATAAGTTATGGCTAGCACAGCTGTGGAACAGCTCAATAGTGTTACAGCTCAATTATGAAGCACAATGTCTGTGAAACAGCATGGCTGTGAGGAAGCCTTGGGGAGAGGCACTGAGCAATGCAGCCCTAGGAGGGACAGCCCTGGGGCTAGTTCCCTCTCAGCCTAGCCCAGTGGTTGACAAACTGCGGCCCCTTGAGTGTGGCTCTTCCACAAAATACCACGTGCGGGTGCACAGGTACAGTGCGATTGAAACTTCGTGGCCACACTCAAGAGGCCAAAGAGCCACCTGTGGCTTGCGAGCCGCAGTTTGCCGACCACTGGCCTAGACAAATCTACTCTAGTCTGGTATGCTCCACCTGCTCTGGTCTGGTCTTAGGTGTTTCAGCTCCATCTAGGGAAACGTGGTCTTTAACCTTCAATGAAAAGTGAAAGTGTGCTATCCAAAGGAGAGGAGGACTGACTTATAGACAGAAGTCCCCACAGCTGGTCCAAGATTTGTCCATCCACATGCTAATTAGCACTCAAAATCCTATCAGTTTGGGCCCAAAGGCAATGTCCTGATGGTCAATCGGACCCACTCTGATTGGTTGGTGAAAATGCTAATAGGGATATAGCTGTGCAACTCCAATTGGATGGAGAAAGCCTCAGTCTTATTGGCTGAAATACAATTTCATAAATTCCTTTCTAAGGGCTGGCTCAGCTGTCAGGAACACACTGTGTTAGGCAGTTCATTGTAGGCTTCTCCCTGAAGTGCAGTTTGTGCACAGGACCTTTATTTAGAAACAGCTACTAGGCTCTGCTTTTAAATTTGAGCCAAGTTAGCCACTAGGAGCCTTTCTTGCTAGGTATCTTCTTCTTTCTCAGGGTTCTCATTAACCACTGATCTACTTTATTTTACTATAAATTTGTCTATCCTGGACAACTTATTTAAATGCATCACACATTATGAGGTTTGGGTTTTTTTTTGGTGAGGCTTCCATCACTTATATTTTCAAGGTTCATTCATCCTGTTGGTGTTTTGTTTTTTGGGTGTTTTCTTTTTGTTGTTGTTGTTTTGCTGTTTAATTGCTTATTTCACATATTTCAATTCAGAAAAATCTATTTTGTTTTCTGTATTCAAAATTTTAGCATTCCATTTGAGAACATTGCCATTCATTATGATTTATTTTTATTCTTTTTAAAGTCATTTTTTGTGTTGCTCACCTTTAAGCATGCATTCTATAACTAATGTGGGGCAAAAGTAGGTTTACAGTTGTGAGTTCACAGAGTTCATTCTTGTGTTATTATTTATCAGTAATTGTATTATTTTTCATATGAACAACTTTAAACATACTTTTACCCCACTCTTTTGTATGTGGATATTAAATTCTCCCAGTAACATTTATATAAAAGTCTATTCTTTCCTAATTGAATGGTCTTGACATCATTGACCAGAGATTTATTGATTTATTTGTAGATTCCCATTAATTCTCCATTGATCTACATGCCTATCCTATGTCAGTCAGTACTACCCTATTTTAATTAGTGTAGCTTGTAGTGCTTTGAAATTGGGAAATGTGCGTTCCCAAACTTTTTTTTTCTTTATCAAGATGGTTTTGGCTATGTGGGCCTCTTTCAATTCCATGTGAATTTTAGAACCAACGTTAGCATTTCTGCATAAAAGGTCATTAGGATTTCAAGAAAGATTACATTTAATATGTGGATCACTTTGGGGAATATTGCCCTCTTAACAATGTTAAGTCTACCCATGCATGAACAAAAGAAGTCTTCCCATTTATTTAAGGCTTCTTTAATTTCTTTGAATACTGTTCTGTAGTTTTCAGTGTACAATTTTGAGTGCTTTTGAAGGCTAATGCTTACATGCCATTAAATTACATAATGATTTTGTTGCCTTGCAGGGGAGGGGAGAGCAACAAATTGTAACCAGGTGACTTTTCTAAAAATATATGATCTGTGGTCTTACACTGTGGTTTTAAATTTTTCAATAGCAACTATAAATACTTGAGTGTTCTCTTTAACTCTGTGGCATTGCTACTTCTTTGTATTTTATCACTGTAGTCCAACATGAAGAAACAACATATATTGCAATTGCTTTGAAATCATCAATTCATCTTTATGCATGGGCACCAAAGTCCTTTGACGAAAGCACTGCTATTAAAGTGAGTGGTTTCCTTTTCCTTTTGATAATGTTTTTATTTTGAAAAATTGTAAACATAAAAAATATTTTAGAATATAGTAGCAGAAATATATACCATTCTTCTAGTTATTTTAATTTGGATATACCATGTCAATCATTATCATTTAATCATTTTTAGACAATTCACAGGCACCAAAGGAAAGAAAAGTGGAGGGAAATCCCTGATCCCTCCCATTAGAGGACCTCCACACCATCTCCTCACTCCCAATTCCTGTAGTCACATAAAGACCTTCTCTTCTAGAGCCCCAACACAGGCTTTGTATGCCATCCCAATGACTTGAAATGGAGAAAGTCCCTGTCCAATTTTAGTGGACATTGGAGAGCAAATGGAGGAGAAGAAAAGGCTTGGCAATATTAGAGGGTGGAACCCAATGGTAGAGGGATGAAGGGAGAGAAAGCCTTTACTTTAATAGATGGGGGATGGGAAGAGAAAGGTGGGTCTATAAGCCTTCCAGGCTGAAACTCCAAATACATTTCTATCTAGAACTATCGCAATGAATAGTGCTTAGGTTTATTTTGATTACCAGTATTATTTCTATTTTTATATGGTTTAACTAAACTTCTATGGATCAGCCTCTTAAGGTAACCATTTGTCATCCCACACAATTAGGTTGTGGATGAGTTTTTAATCTAGTCTCATAAACTGGGGACTCCTTTTATCTATATTGTCTTTTTATAATGCTCCAGAATTCTACTTAAATAGGATTATTTTATACTTAGTCCATAGTATTGAGGACTGATCAATAAATTAGCAGCATTATATAAAGTCTTAATCTAGGGTGTATATCAGAATCATCTGGCTCATTTGCTAAAAGTTTAGATCTCAAACACAACCCCAAGCCAATTAGTAGGTCTAAAGTGGGGCCTGGAAATCTATATATTTAGAAAACGTACCAGGTAATTTTGAACAAGTTGGTACATCTACAAATTTTTTACAGTGTGCTGGTAAGAACACATCATGATAGACCTCATCCAGGTATTTATGAAATACTTTTGTATATTAGGTTAAAATCTCTTCACATGGTATATTTTATAGGACAAAACTTATCACAAATCACATGTATACAATAAAGATAAGCTAATTTTTATGACTGTCCCTCAATGTCTATTTGCAAAATAAATATATTCTTTTATAAGTAATATAGAATACTATAAAGACATTCTGGGCCTGCCCTTCCAAAGTCACATCCCTGATCTGATCTCCCTAAATTGGGCTTTGGTTTGGCTGTCAGTATTTGGATGTGGGTTTGTTCTTGGGTGTCTGCTGATTGGTCAAAGCTGCCTGGTATGGAGCTGGAAAGCAAAGATGATAAGTACCAACAGTCTGTCTAGCCTGATGCACAGTTCCTAGTTCAAGTCCTCATTCCAAATGTTTGAATACTACCACATGGCTACAGTATGATGAATCCTGTGATGCTCAGTCCTCCACTGTGACCTGAACTTGGTGATGAATCCTATTTGGCTTCTTGTTTCCTTGAACTAGCAACCATAGGAGCCTAGAGTACATCCAGTTTATGGTAGGTTAACATGTCTGGCCTTTTTCATTCCCTACCAAGTATGCATTGATCAATCAGCAGACTCCAAAGGAGACTACATGTCCTATGAAGCCTGTATACGAATTCTGGCAAAAATACAGGCAGCTGATCCAGCGAACAATTTTAAGAGACCAGATGAGCTCCTTCATTTGCTGAAGCTCAAGGCAAGGAATTTAAAGACAGCAAACAGAGTGCAGGGTCATACAAGCCTCTTACGATTATTAGAGACTTGACCTTCAAAGAGAAACTCAATATTTAAGATCTAAATATAATTTTGTTCTTATTGTAGTAACAGATCTGATAAAAATTACAATACATAGGTCTCTAAATACATTATGTGATTTTTTTTCTACAATCACCTGAGTTTTATAAACCTGTTAAGCAAAGGGCAGGGGAATTTTTGCCTTAGAGTGTCATTTTTGGCCTTTTGGCCATATTTGCTTTTATATCTACAGGTATTTCCAACACTTGGTCATAAGCCAGTTACAGTTGACCTGGCTATTGGTTCTGAAAAAAGACTAAAGATTTTCTTCAGCTCAGCAAATGGATATCACATCATTGATGCAGAATCTGAGGTTATGTCTGATGTGACCCTGCCAAATAACGTAAGATCCTTGAAAAGTATTGTTTATCACAATTTGAGTTTTTCACAACTGTCAAACTCTTAAAGAAATAAAATATGATTATTAATATCTATACTGGAATTGAGGCCTCAAAGGTAAGTATAGAGTGCCAGGAAGGTATAGAGTGCCAGGAAGTAGTAATGTATAAACAAAAATCACTGATGGTTTCTTAGTCCAGATAACTATATCTGTTCTGTAGACAAATAGTGTTAGTTTGGCACAATGTTTTTTGTTTTTAAATGAATAGAGTTTACACTTAAAAATTTGGACTTCTATTGATAAACCAAAAGATCTGACTACATTAGACCCACATTACTATCTAATCATTATCAATTGGAAATTATTTGTGCCTGCCTCCTTTTAGATGGAATATATGCTATACATTCTCTATTTATCTTTATGTATTTATAATAACTGGCACTAACAGGCATATGAGCTTGCATTCCTTAATTCAGTCCTTCTGCACCCTATAATGCACTAAAAGATTCTCTAAAAAAGACACCACCACAATTGCAACATTATTATGTATATCACCCTTCTTTATTCAGATTGTAGTACTTTAACTGTGATATATAAAAATTATCATAAAAAGTTATCTTGTAGTATCAATTATAATTAAAATTTCTGATCAAAGGATTCAGCATTTACAAAGCTAATTCACCTCAACTCTTAAATAATTGTAAATAGTGAAAATATGACACATCAAAAAAATGGGGAGTTGTAAAAACACTCTACACATTATTTATATAAAAATCTGGAACATAACATAATCCCCCTCCCACAAACATGCCATACAAAATATAATTATGTTGTGTCTCAAATTTGTTGATAGCAATGATATTTGTTCTTTTGAAAAAAAAAGGGCTGAACCAACAAATCTGCTTCACCTTTTCTTAATTCCCCAGTTTGTCAACAAGTAAAATTTTAGCAATTTAACATTATACAAAAGTCCAAGAAAAGACTTTCTGTACTTTTAAATCACTAAAGTAATCTGATATTTTGCATAATATTCAGGACCATTTAATACATCTATAACAAATTACATAGATCATTAGTAGAGACATTTTTAAAAGTTTGGTCATATGAACAATATAATTAACTGATTACTCAGTTGTCACCTATGATTATATAGAAATCACCCTGTTTATAATATGGAAAATACTGGACCAAGCCATGCTAAAGCCACTTAAATATCAGTGCAAGTGCAAGTTCATTTTTATTTAAATATTATAGTACTCTTCAGTTGGGGTATCTCCTATAGCTTCCTGCATCTTATTTTTAAATGTCATGTCAGATAGTGTTATTTTGAAGCTAGTACAGTATTGAACATTGCAGCACTTGTCCAAGTTTACACTTATTTCAAAGAGTTCAAGGAGATTAAACCCCGTGTTCCACTTGACTATTAAGCAAGGAGAATTATTTGCTTTTGAAAGCAATCAGGTAATTATTGTGGAAGAAAGGAGAGAAGATGAGTTAAAAAAAACACAACACTTTTCTGACCTAATTAGGATATCTCAAGTATATTCAAAAATAGTATTTTTAGCTAAGCACCCTAGTGTCTTGGCCCACTAAATGAGAAAGGACTCTAATATAAGGTTGGGGAGAGTGTCTTCTGAAACAGCATGTACTAAAAATAATATTTTTTCAAGAGTGCTAGATTACAAATGCTGTAATGCTACAAGGAAGCCATGTATACTAAAGAATATGTGGTTACTTGAGGAACTATCTGAGAAGCAAGAGAACTACCTCTCAGGCTGTCTGAATTTACAGCAGTCCACCTTTATTCTAAACAAATTTTCTTGAGGCAACCTTCTTTCTTGCAATTTATTTTTCTCTCTTCCTTCATCTAGTTTCTGATTCAATTGCTCATGCTAGTGCCCAGGGAACGCATAAAAATTGCTTTTCGCCTCTGGGTCCCCATTTTGGTTTTAAGGATTGTTGTTGCTGAGACATGGCCTCAAGCACTTGGCCTGAGTACACTGGGTTTGGCAAGTATAATTTCTGAGCTTTTATCCTGTAATTTTACTAATTTGGAGAAATGATAGAGGAATGTAATTGTTCATTTCTCAGGGAAATACTATCAACATGACAATATCTGTAGTTTAGGTAAATTTTGTCACATTATTTTATGCATTATGAATTTTAGAAATTCTTAGATATTTCTGAGTACACCTCTGAATTTGTGTATTGAAGGTATTTTAATATTTTATTAATTGGAAAGAAATATTACATTTTTGTGAAGGGAGGATGACATATTTCAAGCAGTGAAGAATATAAAATTGCCCCTTATAAACATTTTAAGTTCAAGCTATTCTGAAGTTATTTCTTTTCTGATTTGAATGAGTTTGTGTATAACCCGTTGTTGTGTATTTGTTACTTGATTCATGCATTAATTACTAAAGTATTCATTAATGTCCTGAAATCCAACTCCATAACAAGTAATAATGATTCTATTATTATTCATAATACTTTGTAAAATTTCAATGAGTTTTTGTGTATTGGAAATAAATCTCTGCTTTTTTCAAACAAAGATTTTTCCTAAATATAAAGAAGAATATTAAGTAGTGATGACTTTATGACATAAGGAAGGTTCTTTTTAAGTGTTGGGTAGCATGCTGTTTAATATTGAGATAAAAATTCGTCTTCCTCCCTGCACTTTGAACCCCTTTTAATCTTTATTGCTCAACCAATCTGCATCAATTAAAGTAGTAGTGATCAAATTTTGGACATATAAATCCTTATGAAACATAATTCCAGCCCCTGGAAATCATTATACCACAGAATATCATCATTTTACCTGATTCCTTGGGAATTGGCATGATGCTCACCTTCAATGCTGAAGCCCTTTCTATGGAAGCAAATGAACAACTCTTCAAGAAGATCCTTGAAGTGTGGAAAGATATACCATCTTCAGTAGGTAAGTATAAAAATTTTCCTCTTTCACATGATGCCATAGAAGCTTCCATTTTCTGATATGTAATACTTTTTCAAAGCATAGAGTTAATTTGGGATAGTGCATAGTTGTTCCCTTAGTGAAGTGATGTGCTTGTTATACGCTTAATGAATCCACAACCTACCATAAAGAGACTGATTTTGGCTTAGTTGTTCATCTGCAATAATATTATAAGTATAATAAAAAGGGAATTTTTTCCACAATAATGTATAATTATATTTTAACTCCCTTTGCTTGCAGATTTTACACAGATGTTGAAAATGGTTCATTCTATCACATTTACTTTGGGATTTACCTTTTTCTAAGGAGGCTGACAAATAGTCTTAAAAGAAGAGCAAAATGTTTCTATTTCATATAGTCAATAGTGTTCTGTTTATTGAGTAATAGTCTCATAAAGAATTAAATACAAACTGACTTTGTGACATATTGGCTGTCACTAAGATTTCATCATCCTTCATTTACAAGGAGATAAATATGACTTACTGGAATGCCCATTAGGTACCACCCAGATGGCAAAGTAAAGAAAACTGCCTTTTTGTCTTCATCAGGCCAGGATATTTTTTCTTCCTGACCAATGCAGCACTGCAGATCTGAGAAATCTGAATAATTTGAGATTTTTGTATATGTCTCTGAGACTACAGAGGTGATTCTAGATAGCGAACAGAATGTATATGGAGAGTGAAAACATTAGAGAGAGTAGAATGGTTTGAGGAGGATAAATATACCTGGAAGGGGAAGGAGTTTAAAGAAGCAAATGAAGAAGAGGAGAGGGGAAGAGAGAAAAAAAAGAGAAGGGTAGTTTGTCAATAGAGAAGCCAGAAGCTTCTGAAATCTCTATTAAAGGGCTAAATGTGATCCTCATGTGGCTGTAAAGACCAGTTTAAAAGAACTGCTTTTTAACTGACATTTTTTTCATTATGGGATGAGAGCACTTTGCATGGTGTCTGCAGAATCCTTTATTTTCCATACATGTTGTTAACGATTGTCCTGAAAACCTCCTCAAATTGCTTCAAACAGGTAAGAACTCACAGAGGGTTTAAAACCATTTTAAGTGATGAAAGGTAAATGCCTACAATATAATTAATAGACCTAGGGCAAAGGAAACTGAAAATAATGAATCTTTATCTAACCATTACACTGGTACTTTTTATTCAATTTGATAATCAGAAACTGAAATAAGAAAATTCCATTTAAATGGGGAACGGAACAAACCTCTGGTATATATGCCAGTAGGCAATCATATGAATCAAAGGGTTCTTAAAAAGTTATCTGGTACAGGTCCTGTCCTTAAGACAACTTCTGACCTAAAACAACAAAAATACTTTAGTTGTTAGAATTTGAAAACCATCACTTTATATGTAAAATAAATTATAGCACTATAAGGACATGCTATTTTGGTTTGTGTATTCAGAGCATTTTGAGGGTATACTAAAGACTACAGTATAATACTGATATTAAAGAAATAAATTATTTCTTTTTCTATCTAAAAACAACTACTTGTTATTTAAAGATAACCTAGATCCAGATTTCCCCAATCTGAATTTTACATTTTCTTGAGATATATTAAATGTGTTAAGTAATAAGATCATTTCTCTAGATATTCAAATAGATATAGAAGCTTAACAATCACAGCAAATATCACTAACTATTCCAACCCAAATCATTAGATTCCACCTCATAAACAGGTAGCTAGGTTAAGTGGCAGATTAGTGTTTCAAAATTAAGTTGGGAATTATGTAATGCCATATGAACTGTGTACTTGACTCTGCAAGTAAGCTGTGCATTAAGTTTAGAAATTGTTGCTCTCTGTGGTTGTTGACAACAATTCAATTTTAATGACGTATTCACATAGGTGAAAAAATTCAAATCTGAATAGGCAAAAAACTATTACTTGTTCCCATCAGTCAAGCTATGTATTCCATAGCTTTCCTCATATCTGGAGTGATTTTAATTCTAGTCTAAAATTGGGCTTGTAAAATCTCCTTTCAATAAAATATGGTTGCAATTTAATTACAAGTTTATGTCAATTTCATGTGCATAAATATTTGGAAATGTAATGTAAAAGGAAGCAAGAAATAATAAATTCTTGCTAAGTTTTAGTTGAGGGATTCAAAATGGCTCACACTGCCTATGAAAAGTCACTTTCATAAAAGTTTCATAATTTTTCATGAATTTTTAATGCATATTTTACATACATATGTATAGGCCAGTTAAATTTTGGTTTATTTATTCATTTATTGAATCTATTGGAGGTACATTGGCTAATAAAATTATATAGTTTTAAGGTGTACAATTCTATAATACATTATCTATATATTCTTTGTTAACCTCCCAATTCATGTTTCTTTCCATTACCATTTCTCCCCCCATTTTCCCTCTCTTACCTCCCCCATCCCCATTTCTCTCTGGTAATGACCATACTGTTGTCTCTCAATGAGGTTTGGGGCAGTTTGTTTAATCCTTTCACCATTTTTTACTCAGTCCCCCCCCCCAACACCCTCCCTTCTGAAAAACCATGATTCTGTTTCTATTTTGTTCATCAGTTTATTTTGTTCATTAGAATCCACATATAAGTGAAATCATATGGTATTTCTCTTTCTCTGACTGGCTCACTTCACTTTGCATAATACTCTCCAGGTCCATTCTTATCCTAGAACTTTTGTGGCCAGATAAGGGAAAATTTTAATTATAATTATATCAACTCAGATTTTATTGACTTTATAATAGAAGAAAATTAAAAATCTAATGAATTGAATTCTAATTTTAGTCATGTTAATATGAGAATGAAGGAATCTTGTTTTAGTGCTTTCTAGACTATTTTAACTTGACTCAAAATTTTTATATTATTTTAAGTGCAGGATTATATTTATTTATGGAAATTTGCCTCCCCATAAAGTACATAAAGAATATCAACTTGAAAGTTAAACATTTAAAAATAATACAGCCACTTGTGTCAAAAAAAACCTTACAGCACCAACTGACTGTATGGCCATTTACATGATTAGGTTTTCTGCTTTAAAGCAATTATCATAATCTTTATTGTCACCAAGTAAAATAAAACAGGTTATAAAAGTTGAAATCTTATAAAAATTTCCTGAGAAAGAAAAAGCATTAACAGTATCAAGTTAGTTTTATTTCTCTTTATAACATAGTAATTCATTGAACTACATTAGAGTTGCTAAAGTCATTTGAGCAGGTCATTTTTAACAGTTTTAATTTTGAAAAGTTAGTCAGTTTTCCATGTATGTTACTTGAACACAATTACAAAACCTTATGGAATGTTGTACCTCAACTAGATTGTAAAAAGAAGAATGGTTGTGGGTAGATTTGACTTTCTATCAACAGGGTAGAATTAACCCTTAGATTTTTTCTGCAGTATTAGAGAATATGAGTAGCAAAATTAATTTAGATATAGTTATTCAGCATTGATCACAATGCTAACAATAAATAGCTGGTTTAAACAACACTGCTAAGCAGCATAATAGCCAAATGACTGACTATAGAAGGAGGAAATAAAGTGTTTACCTGAACTGTAATAATCAGATTCTTAATAATCAAATAGTGGCTGTGGTTATAATTTTCTATCTCTGTTAGAAATATTTTGTGTTTTTCTAATTTTTAATTTTTATTATAGCATATGAATGTACACAGCGAACCACAGGATGGGGCCAAAAGGCCATTGAAGTTCGCTCTTTGCAATCAAGGCTTCTCGAAAGTGAACTGAAGCGCAGGTCAATTAAGAAGCTGAGATTTCTGTGTACCCGAGGTGACAAGGTAATATATCCTCCAGTAAAAGAAAAAATAAAGAAAACAATGAAAATTAACTAAAAAAATTACTACTTTTAAAACTACATTTAATCTTTAAGATGGATTTGCTATTAGTTTTTTCATTTTACAAGAAAGAAAAATAAAATTATAATTTGGCTATTAGTGTAATGTAATCAATTTTATCAACCCAATCAGTTTAGGTGAAAAATGCATTGAATAAAATCATTACAGTCCTTATATTATGAGAAATAATAACAAGAAGAAATAATCCTAATAGGATTAGGAATCAATCACATTTAGAAGAGATTACAGAAGATTCACTTAATATCAGAACAGCCAGGGTAAAGCAATGTGCTTCAAGGAAAGGTACTAGTTTTCAATGTAAAGTAATATAATGGAAAGAACTGGTGTTTGAAGTCACATAGACCTAAGATGCAGTGCTGGCTCTGCCGCATGACTAGGTGTAAGAACCTTGAAGTTTGATTAATCTTTCTGGGCCTTAGTTTCTTCATCTCCATTCTAATTATGTTTATGGCACATACCATATTTATATGACATGTTTCTCTCTAAGCCAATCAGTTTAGCTCATAATGTCAATCTATCGATGTCAGTGCATTCCACTGACAGAGAAAATTAAAATTGCACCAAGTAGAAAATTTCATAAAAGCCAGCAACAATGGTGAACATCAAAATAATTTAATCATTTCCTTATATTTAAAAAAGGAAAATCAACAAGTGAAAGTTGATTTTAAGCAAAGAATTGTTAACCAAAATTAATCAAAAACTTTACCAGATAATTGTCACCTACAAAAAAATAATTTTGTTTAAATATAGTGCCATTTTATAGAATACTAGAGGCCTGGAGCACAAAATTCATGCACTCGGAGGTGGGGGTGGTCCCTCAGCTGGATTGTGAGAGGGCGCAGGCCAGGATGAGGGAGCCCACCTGTGCAAGATCTGGGCCAGTGAGGGATGTGAAAGGTTGGCCAGCTGGGGAGGGACCTTGGGAGGGCTCCAGGGTTTATCTGGCCCATCTTGCTCAGTCTCGATCAGCCAGAGCCCAGCAGCAAGCTAACCTACCAGTCAGAGTGTCTTTCCCCTGGTGGTCAATGCACATCATAGCGGCTGGTTGACCAGTTGACTCTCTGCCCCCTGGTGGTCAGTGCACATCATAGCAAGAGGTTCAGCGGCCTTAGCATATCATTAGCATATTACACTTTGATTGGTTGAATGGATGACCGGACACTTAGCATATTAGGCTTTTATTATATAGGACTAGTGGCCCAATGCATGAAATTCTTGCACAGGGGTTATTTCTTCATCCCAGCCTGCACCTCTCCAATCGAGGACCCCTTGGAGGATGACCAGCAGTCAGATATCCCTCTCACAATCTGGGACCACTGGCTCCTACCTGCTCACCTGCCTGCCTGCCTGACCACCCCTAACTGCCTTTACCTGCCTGATCACCCCTAACTGCCCACTCCTGCCAGCCTGATGTTGCCCCCACCTGCCCTCCCATGCCGGCCTGATCTCACCCACAACGGCCCTCCCCTGCCAGCCTGATCTCACCCCTAACTGCTCTCCCCTGCTGGCCTGATCACCCCTAACTGCCCCTGCCTACCTGATCACCCCTAACTGCCCTCCCATGCCAGCCTGATCTCATCCCCAACTTCCCTCCCCTGCCAGCCTGATCTCGCCCCCAATGACCCTCCCTCCTGGCCTGATCTCACCCCCACCTGCCCTCTCCTGCTGTCCTGATTGCCCCTAACTGCCTCTGCCTCCGCCCCCACCACCATGGCTTTGTCCTGAAGGAAGTCAGACATCTGGAAGATGGCTGGTCCACCCAGTCTAATTAGCATATTACCCTTTTATTAGTATAGATAGATTATGTAAGATAGGGTTGCTTAAAGTGGAGGGAAGGCCTTTTTCAGCAGGAGGAGATGCTCTTGGCAGACAAAAATACATAATCCCTATATCTGGACTGATAGCCAACCATATGCACTATACTGCCAAACTGGTCTTTAAAAAATTGAACCTCTTCCTTACACCTTACACCAAACTGCTGTTTCCCTGAAAACCCCTCCTCAGCCCCCACCTTAGGTTCTGCCTTTTCAGTTCACTCAGATTAGGTTCTGATTGGTCAGTTTCTATGTCAGTCAGTGTCAAAAGCTCCACCTCCTAGACAGCCATTAGAACCCTCGCAGTTTACCCAGATTTGGTTCTGATTGGTCGGTTTCTATGCCAGTCAGCATCTCCGAGCCTATCTCTAGGTCTGATCAGAGAGGCTGGGCTGATTAGCAGCCACTCCAGGCTGCTGGCCAGGGGACTGAACTGCTGGTCTCTCAGAGAGAGAGAGGCCTGGCTGCTGGTGAGGCCCAGAAAGAGACTGCAGATTAGACCCTGCTTCTCTCTCTCTCTCTGGGCCTCACCAGCAGCTGTGGTAACTGCTGATCAGCCCCACCTCTCTCTCTCCCCAAGAGGTCAGCAGTTCAGCCCGCTCACCAGTTCCGCTCATCAGAGCCTGCTGCACGCAACCTGGCATTCGGTCAAGCCTTCGGTCATTTTGGACATTATGGACCCTGGGTTTTTATATATTAGGATGGTAAAAGGTATTTTTTTAAGATATATTTAGACTACATTCTATTTTAAAATTCTTAGTCTTTAAATTGAAGAAATTCTATTCTGAAAAGCAGTATAGCTTAATATTTTAAGTGATTGATGCAGATAAATTGAAATTATAGTTGTATCTAACAAATATCAGGTTACAATGTACTAAACATTTACTGATGGTGTCTTTCTTTCTTTTTAAAGCTATTCTTTACCTCTACTTTGAGCAATCACCACAGCCGGGTTTACTTTATGACCCTTGGAAAACTTGAAGAGCTCCAAAGCAATTATGGTGTTTAAAAGATTACAATGATTGATTACACCATTTACAAACATCATAAATATGCAATTTGCATCTTAAAAATTCTGAGATTAAATTAGCATTCAGTTTTATTATTAGTGAAATGTTAAATCACATACTTTACTTTTAATGTAGCACATAATAGTTCTAATGAGAAGTGCAGCTTTATATATAAAATTAACTGTAGCAAGCTCTATGTACTCCAGTGGTGTACAATATCTTTTGCACAACCTTTGTCACTTTTGTTACTGTGAATTCAAGCATTATTCTTTGGACAGTTTGGACAGTATCTATATGTGAAGAAACCTGTAATGAGTTAGATTTCAAGTAGTTTTCAAAAGAATTGGCACTGAATAAGCTTTTTCAGAAAAAGTAAGAGTATAAATGAACCATATAGGAATTTTCAAAGTCATATAAAGAACTAAATGTTAGATTATGAAATGAAAACAACAAGGACTATGCTATAAACCAGACTAAGGTTGAACAACGTATATGCCTGGAGAAAACTACAGTGATAAAGGGGGAAAAGACCACCCATTTTCCCATTGCCCCATGGCAGTTAAACTCACAGTAAAAGAGCAGTTGTGTTCTTTTCACTGCATGTTAAGCTGTTTTTCTCCTGGTAAGAAGAAAGTTAAACCTCAGATGCTTTATTTTCCTCAGAACCCCCAACAATGTGCAATAGTTTTTAAAAACCCCTATGGTTTTTAAATAATACACTTGCATGCCTGAATACAGGACTGAACTCCTATACACATGTACTGTAGAATTACTTTATTTTTTTAATACTTTAATGTAGGAGTCAAATTTTAACCCCAAGAACCAATTGGTTGATTTATCAATATTCTTATCTGGCCAACAGACATTAAATATTTTCCCAACCCCAGATAAAACTATATAAAAGTTTCCCTTCAGTTATTAAAAAAATATAATAAAAATTTTAGCTGCTAAAATTTATCTTTTATATTTCTATTTCTGTAAAATTGGAAATTTATCTAAAGTGATAAATCCACATGTAGGGACTTAATGTTTTAGGTAAAAATAATGAAAATATTTTGAAAAAATAAAACTTTGTTCAGATACCCAAACCTACAAATTTAGAGTGCTGAAAATTATGCTAGTTTATCATCCATATATGTTATAGATGCCATACAAAGGTGATTTTTGGTCACCTATGGTAACTGCCACCTGGTGAAAAGCATAATTTCTGCATATCCATCCTCAATACCATGGTTAGTTCTGGGGCAATAGAGAGGCAACTGAACTACCACAAAGTTTACCTCAGTATAATTCCTCTAGCCTGCTTCTAAAATCTGAAGCCAGTGCTAGTGGGATCATAATTTTCAAACTACCTGGTTAACCAAAATACAAAAGCAGCTGACTATGTGTGATTTCATGATAGCATGTTATTTTCTTAGGATCTTAGTGCCAGGAATGATGATACAACAACTTATATCAAGAGTTTAGTAGCTCAATAGTGAGAATTTAGGTGAACCCGAATCCATGAATTAAAAAAATAAATGTGATTCACATCTCTGTTACTGTGATACAATAATGTGATCCTAAAACTGGCTTATTCTTGAGTGTTTACAATTAAAATAACTTTTTAAATGCAGTAGTTTAAAAAGAAAAAAAAAAACTTTCATGTCAAATTATTTCCTTAGAAGTAGTCTTCATTATCATAAATTTGTACACCTTAAAGGCCATGGGGAACTTTGTGCAAGTACCTCATCGCTGAGCAAATGGAGCTTGCTATGTTTGAATTTCAGAAAATGTTCTCATTTAAGTAGTATGTAGAATCAAGTCTTTTAGGAATTAATTTTTCTTCAAAATATTTACTCAAAGTTAAGTTTCAAAAATAACTTTTATGTTAAAATCATATTTTAAGGTAGTAAGAGGGTAAACTATTTTAGGATGTCAACTCCCATTGTACTCTGTGGTTGTTATTCTAATACACATAGACAATAGTGAGCTACATATACAGAAATGTCCCAAAGTAAACAAGCCGGAGAGATTGCAAAATGGGTAACTGAGCTTTAAAGGATAAGGTGTTTAGTGAAGAAAGCAAGGTGATCATATATTAAGAAGAAATTGAAATGTTGGGTAGCCAAATAGGACTGAACATATTTAAAGTGGTTCAGAAGTAATGAATATTTTTGATTTATATGTTAATTCATCTGGAATTTTTATACCATATGCCAGCTAGAACAAGTAAGTGAAGGGACAATGAAATGTTGTAGTCAGTGCACTGTAATAGAAGAAATTATATCAACACCTTACCTTGTAGCAGCAGCATCTGGAAGCCCTGGCCTATCACAGAAATGTGGTGGGGGATACTTGACAAGTCAATTCCCTAGTTCTGTGATTTGAAGCATGAATGTTGTGGTAGGTTGTGAGTAGTATTGGGACAGAGAAAGTCTTATTTCAGTGTACTTTAATTTTTTCATCAAAACCCTTTTATTAAAATAAAAGGCATCATTGGAAATATTTGAAAACTAGAAAATGTGTGAAAAGGATTGTCAAGAAAAGCTCTGATTAAGTATGTTAAAGAAAGGTAAGATCCTCAGAGGAAACAGTAAGAAAGGATCATGATTAAGAGAGTAAAATAGGCAAAACAGAAATTACATATGTATGTACACACACAAACCATTAGAATGCATAAATTTTAACATTTTCAGTGCTACCAGTCTCTATATAAATTAATCACTAATTGTTTTCTGCCAGGTCTTACTTAATTAAGATATAAGATAGTATCCATAAAACCAGGAATAATACCACATGAATTCAATGGGAACTTTTAGGTATTCTTCTATTCTTTTTAAATGTGCTTATTTAAATTGATTTGTATTTAGTCTGTGCTCTAACTTTAAAAAAATTATTGAAATCATCTTTGAGATTGCTAATTGTTTCATCAGAAAGTCTTCAATGAACCGTTGTTCAACCTCTAAAAATAAAAAAATTGAATTATTGATGGATGTCATTATTTGAAATATACTTATCTTAATGCCTCTGAATTAGAACTCATTTAAGGAATATTAATTTACTTAAAGTGTATAATAACACACTGATTAAAAGGTGTTAGGGGTTCTGCCTATTGTTCCATTAATAATTTTGGCCAACTAGTGGTATATTATTAATCTGGCTAAAATCTTCCAGGGTATAGTGGTGGAATTAGAACTAATCAGTTTTCTTCTAAGTGTGTTGGACTTTACATAGACACACAGACTCAAAGGATGTGGGTTAAACCCAAGCATGTTTTAATGCTGACTTACTTCCCATCTCACCCCAGTGTCCTGAATTCCTGTGGAGAAGAGGAGGAACCTTATCAAAAGGGTAATCTTATCCAAAGAGAGGAATAAAGATTTATAGTTTCTTAGCATTTAAGAAAGAGTTTAATATAGGCTGATGATGGGAAATAGGAGGTGGAGTAATCCTGGCAGGTCATCAAGGAAGCTGAACCCTTTAATTGGGGCCAGAAAAGAATAGTACTTCTCTTAGCAGGTCACAGAAGCATTTAAGACATGGTGCCATGAATATTTATTGTCTTGGAATATTCTGGAGAGATGCTCATCAAGCTTTCCCAGTAGGGACAGCTGGGTGTGGTCCCAATTTGTTAAGTGTAGCCAGGCATTCAGAAGTTGGTTTATTCAGACATGACAAGCTTGTCTGGGCTTTTCAAGACTAAATTCAAAGTTCTCCATTACAATCAACTGAATATATAAGGCCCAGAGATTTTACCTATTTTAAGAGACAATGTTATGAGCCAAGGAATACAAATATCATCACAGATTGATATTAGAATGGGCAGGGTGATGCTCCAAGGTCGATAAAGGACATTGTCCTAGGGATCCTTTACCAAAACCTGGGGATGGGGTAGGTCATGAGTAGAAGTCACTATTAGTAACTTTATCACTCTTAAAGGGAATAGTGCATTTGAAGACTCCAGTAATGCAAGTCTATTAACTGAATCTTATCACAACACTATGATTTCCAACATAATAGCATGTGCCACACCAGCACAGCCAAGGGTGAACCTGAGGAGGGGTGGTGAAGGATTAAAGAAGACAGACAAGCCCTGACCAGTTTGGCTCAGTGGATAGAGCATCGGCCTGTGGACTGTAGGGGCCCAGGTTCAATTCCTGTCAAGGGCATGTACCTTGGTTGCAGGCACATCCCCAGTAGGGAGTGTGCAAGAGCCAGTTGAATGGATGTTTCACGCTCATCGATGTTTCTAACTCTCTATCTCTCTCCTCCCTTCCTCTCTGTAAAAAATCAATAAAATATATTTTTTAAAAAAAGACAGACAAAGAGACTACAGCTGGGGCCAAGGGTAAACCTGAGGAGGGGCGGTGAAGGATTAAAGAAGGCAGACAAAGAGACTACAGCTGGGCCTTGGGGGATCTCCCATGCCTGGATGAGGACACATAAGACCCAGCCTGCAAGCCAATGCTTTATTGTATAGTCTGATTAAAACAAGGGTAGATTAACATGTATACAAAGGTTCTTGTTTTGGCAACACTTGCGGCACCTCCCACAGCCCATTAGCTACTTAGGAAGGAATTAAGGAGGGCTACAAGGTCAGGGTTAATTATGCTAGGCGAGCTCTGCCCTCCAGGCTGGGACTTGTTTGTGGCCCTGCCACAGGTGAGCCGGAGGCTTGACCCTAGCCACTCCCTACAATAGCACTTTTTTATTTATAGCAGTGGTTCTCAACCTTGGCTGCACATTAGAATCACCTGGGAATCTTTTTAAAATTCTGATTTCTGGGCCTCATCCTCTGGAAATTCTGTTTCTTTGTTATGGGGTGGGCCACAACATTAGTTAACAAAGAAACAGAATTTCTGGAGGATGAGGCCCAGAAATCAGGATTTTAAAAAGATTCCCAGGTGATTCTAATGTGCAGCCAAGGTTGAGAATCACTGATTTATAGGGACTTTAACCCTTAAGGAGTCTCAGGTTCTTGGAGGTAATAAAGCCATTGAATATGGCTGCTCTTTAACTAAAAAAAAAAAAAAAATGATTGGAGGCAGCTAATGAATTAAAGACCAAAGATGTTTCAGAAAACAGTACTACATGTCTTATGTTGATCACAACCATGCCAATTAATTCAAAAAGAATAGTTTCTAATGGAGTAAAATTGATTCTCTACGGATGAGTAAAAAATCAGATTTTAGATTCATGTTTTTTGATAGCTTTGCTACCCCATATGTCAAAGTGCCTCATTTGGTGCTTAACATACAACAAAGGCTCAAGAAAAACATGAGTTGAAAGGGAGAATTGGTCCTTTTTTACCTTGATTGTCCTTATTGCTATTTTATTAAAAGAGCTTAAAATTCACAAATCCATTAGATTCATCAAAGTACCATCTGTGTTCTGGTAACTAAAAAGGTGACCTATTTGGGGTAGTTTGAAATGATCTTACCCTACACAAATGAAATTAAACAAAGGCTATGTCAAAATAAAATTAAAATAGTGTCTTTTTACACTTTGTTACCTTTGAAAGCAACACATAAGGGACCACTATTGTTGTGCCCAGATTTCAAGGTTCCCAAAAAGCCCATCAGGGAGCCAGCGAGTCCAATGCAAAAGCAAAGAGTCCTTCATTTCGAACTAGTTCGGCTCCCCAACCACACTCACCCATGCAACAACGGTAAGCCCAGTGGCCACGAGAGAGCGAGGCCTGATGGGATTGTGGGTTTTATAGTAAGGGCAGGGGAGGGGACTGTGGGCCCCGCCGATTGGCCAGGCGCAAGTCGAGTCTTGTTACACAGGATGTGGTCATATTGATGGCGTGTGCACTTCCCTTGATTATCATTGGTTAGTCCAGAGAAATCCTGGGCGTGGCCAGCAGAGGCCTGGGCCTCCGGGAAGAAGCCCCCACCAAGCACATGGCTCTGCCCAAAAATGGAGGACCCAGGGGAAGATGGAGGGCGCAGTCCTCACCCCCCAAGGGCGAGCTGAGCCCGGGCTCCAGGGGCCAGTCCGGTTGCCGGTGGTCCAGCAGATCGACCAGTTCCAGCCCAGACAGAAAGTCCACACCCTCAGTCTCGTCCCCGGGGGCGCCGGCAATCGCCTCCTCCTCCATCTCCTCAGGCAAGGGCACACGCCCCGCACCGCCGCTGCTGGCCGCGTGGGTCCAGTCCGGGGGCGGCGGGCGGGTGGCCTGCACTGGGCTCCCACCGTGGGCTGGGGAGTCGGTGCCCGAGGCTGCCAGCAGTGTGGTCAGGCTGTGCCTCATGGGGCCCGGCGGCCGGCCCACGTAGGCCCCGCGATGACTCGCCCTTTCACTATGACCCTTTAGTAATTACTCAAGAATCATGAGTAATGGCAAAGATTGTTTAATAACATAAAAACAGGACAAAATGAGCCACTCAACTAGCTGTTTTGTACAACCATTTGGTTTAAATGTGATTTTTTCCCCCACAAGATTAACTCTGTTATAGCACCCTGAGCCATATGTAGTCGTCAATGTGTACTTTTTGGTTCAAAATTTTAACTTATTTTCCCATAAATAGATATATCTAATGCCAGGCATTCCCTAAAGGTACTTTTTAGAAGAAGAAAGAATTTGTATGACTTGTGGGTGAATAGGTAGCTATTAAAATGCATGCAAGTTGGGAACATCTTTCCAAAATTCTAAAAGCATGAATGCAACACCATGAAGCTGAGTCTCACAAGTTGAGATAGTCAGAAATCAATATAATAAATTTCAAAGAGAAATGGACTAAAAAAAATTTTCCCCACAAAATTAATATTATATGTCAGACTGGAAAAATATATTCTTTATTTGATAGTCCCGAAAGCATTAATGAATTTTACTCCACAAACCTGAATGTGCAAAAACCAAACCAATACCAAAAATGATTATTTGGACTGCATTTCTTATCCCACCAATCTGGGAGGAAATTTAATCATAATCATTACCTGGACTTTCCTCATTCATCCATTAGGATTATACAGAGGTCTGGGGGCATCAAAAAATCCAGGGATACTCCAATGGTCAACACTGATACGCTTATTGCTTACTTAGTTTCTTGCAGTGACTCAGACTTCTGTGTAATGTGTGGCCATGGAAATTTCTGTCAAAGCAGGGAGCCTAGATACCTAGGTTCATATCTACTGTGATCACACTACCTCCCTAAGTTCTGGGTGGGCATGGGTCCCTGTTGCTTTAGAAACCACAGTTCTGCATATCCTTTCTTATCTCTGGTTAATCTTTCCCTTTCCCACTAAATCCTTGTATTTCTGTCCCCACCTCATTCCATGTAAAATGTAATTACATCTTTCCCTTCCCTTTATGAGAATGACCTAACATAATTTTGTAAAAGAGCTTGGGCTTAAAAAAATCCAGCAAGAGATTTTGAGACAGTTTTTGCTTTAAGTTTCAGTATATGTATAACCTCTTTATCTGCCAATGAAAAATGAATCCTCTTTAATTTGGAGAGGAAATTCATTGAGAACAAATTAAAACCACAATTAGTAATCATGTCACCTACATATGAAAAAATTCACCTTAATGTAGTCAAGCAAATGAAAATTTGGAAACAAGACACTATTATTGCTATGAATAGAAGTCCAGAAATTCCTAATCTTCTCTCATTACCCTCTCTACATCCCCTTCCCCAATACCCTCATCTTTTCCTTTATGATGTGTTGTAGCTTCCAAACAACTGTCTCTTTTAGATAAGTGTCCCTCATTTCTCCTTAGTAGCCCCCACCTTTGAATCCCTTGCTATCAAACTGTACTACCTATTTCCCATCCTGATTACAGTCACGTATAGACCCACCATATCATTCCTGCTTATTACTTAAACATTTTAGCACTGGTTGGCTGTCTTTTCCTCCAACACTATTTCTAATTATTGGTAAAGTTCATATCTACTTACATGATTCTGTCAATATTCTTTCTACTTAAATCTGGCAATTCCTATCTAAA